TGCATAACGTAATCAGATTACTTTGTTGGTGTTTTGAGTAAACATTACATGTAATTTGCATAATGTAATCAGATTTATTTTTGATGTAACAAGTAATGTAACGCATTACAAGTAACGTGCATAACGTAATCAGATTACTTTTTGATGTAACGTAACACATTACAAGATTACTTTTTCGATGATTTGAGTAAACATTACAAGTAATAAGCATATTGTAATCATTACTTTTTTGATGTTTCGAATAAACGAACACATTACAAGTAACATGCATTTTATGATCAGATAATCAGATTCATGTACAGTACAGCAATGTCTGTATGTATTGGCAGTTGAAAGTCTCTGTATTGCTCAGCAGAAGCATAGATCTAATCCGGAAAAACACGTTAACATTGTCATACCCATTACCATACCAATCTCCCGAGAGTTGTCATGACTGAAACACATTTATTTACAACCAAAAAAGTTACTGCAAACAATACTATCATATAGGGTAGTATAAATCAGAGGCCAAACGTCTTTGGAATGAATCAATAAAAAGATTATTCCTAATAATTCCCGACGTCCTCAGGTTGGAGACATGAATTTGTCCTGAAACCAATAACATCCTCTGAATTATAGCATAATGAATATTTTCCTCAACTCTTACCACATACAGAATGTGTACGACAAGGACACGGTAAATAAAACAAATCGAAATACCTGTAGGGAACACGATTCTAATATATATTCTGATGCACATTATATATTCAGAAACCCAAACAAATGTGTCCCCGTGTAACATGAGCGTGACGTGAAATGAAACATCCTCGTGATTTGAGTTTTTGATTATGAATGAATGCTGTCGGTGTGTGTTGTCTGTCCCCGCAGGCGTTGTTGCGTCTCGTCGTCTTTGCTTTGGTTCATGAACCTGTAAAATGAGGGATGTTTCTGAGTGTAGATTAGAGAACAGAGCACTGTCTGCATACTAACACGATGAAACCTAAAGCGCGACTGAACTCGCTGTATTCACTACTGTTATTATTGTTCATGTGGACATTCAAAACTGACTCGGTTTACTCACTTGATTCATGATGCTGGTCATATTGTGAAAGATTCAATCGTTCACGTCACTGTGCCAACCAAACACAATGGGTAACATTTTATTATAAGGTCACATAACACATGGCCTTAACCTTAACGTAACCCTATTCTCCATTGTTGCGGCTCCTCTCTTCCCAGTCTGTCAGTAACGCTCTGTTTACTTCCTGTCTCTATGAAGCCCCTCCTTCTGAAAAGCACACTGTGCTCTGATTGGTCGGCTGGATCAATGTGCTGTGATTGGTCGAGCGCTTAGAGAGTGTTTGGGAAATGCCCCGCCCCTTAAAATAACCGCCAGTTTAACACACTACTAACTAACTCAACCAGGCCCCGCCCCTTTATTCTGCGTATGAATTATTATAATGAGGAATATTGTGACATTTTCGTTCCCGGAAGAATCTCAAGATACAACGAGTTCAGAAACACTGACACTGATATAGAGAAGAACGTTTTCATGCTCAAACAGCAACATTACTCACTAAAGAAAGCATAATTTGTCATCTTTAATATACTCATAAACTGAAAAGCACGTCTGCCAAAGGAATCTCTGGCTGGCATGCTGATACTCTTCAAGGTTTTAGGACTCAAAACCTGCCTTCATTTGTCATTCATAGTGTGTCTTACGAGATAACGTGTCTCCGTGTTTCAAGCCAAGACTTTTTCCTTGAGGAAGGGAGACTGATTACCCAGAACCGGGAATGAGAGCATTGTCAAGAAAGACTCTCACAAATTATGCACAGAGCTCGTGACTGAAAGCCGAGGCTTATGAGACGCACGAAAGTAGTAACTATGAAGGAAATCACTTATGCAAAAATATCTGATTGCATAATGACTGTATCGACCAATCACAATCAAATGTTCTAGAGACACGTTTTGATTGTTTGAAAACGTTCATCATGTCAAATGTTTCAGTATTCATTAGTTAGTCTTTAACCTGGAACAAACTGACTTTTCTTTTTATGAATTACAACATTAACACACTTATTGTTTATTAATTAACGTGAAGCTGCTTTGAAACAATCAACTGTTTAACAAACGTTCTCCTCTATATCAGTGTCAGTGTTTCTGAACTCGTTGTATCTTGAGTTTCCGGGAATGAACACGTCACAACATTCCTCATTATAATAATTAATGCGCAGAATAAAGGGGCGGGGCCTGGTTGAGTTAGTTAGTAGTGTGTTAAACTGGTGGTTATGGAAAGGGGCGGGGCATTTCCCAAACGCACTCGAAGAGCTCGACCAATCACAACACACCGCTCCAGCCGACCAATCAGAGCACAGTGTGCTTTTTAGAAGGAGGGGCTTCATAGAGACAGGGTGTGTTTCGATAAACAGATCTCGACTTGTGGTTAGAAGCAGTTTAATGTGAATTTAATAAATCTTGAGCAAAATAAGCTGACATTCAGTACAACCTGTGTCTTGTATTTAGAATACATAAATGCAATTTGTCTTTTAGTTGTCAAGAGATTTAAAGTGTAGTTTTTGAAGTGTGTGTGTGTGTGAACGAGCTGATGAGTGAATCTGTAAAGAAAGCAAAATAACTGAGAAATATTCCTCAGATGCAATGTGTGTAAAATATAGCAAAACATCTCGCATTAATTCGATCTCAAACAGACTCATTAAAAGTAGTAATTACTCCAGCACCTGCATGAGATCATTAACCAACGCGGTTGAACAACCAGTGTAAAAAGGTTGCTGTAAATTTTACAGTAACTTACTGGCACCAGCAGCTAGTAAGTTACTGTAAAAGTGTTTACAGTATTAGTACTGATACTGGTAGTATATAATCAGTAAAATTTCAACATTTCAAACATTTAAAAATACTGTTTTATTTTGTGACTGCACTTTGTAAAGCACTTTGTGATTTTTTTTTTATCTGTGAAAAGTGCTCTATAAATAAACTTTACTTACTTACTTACTGTAATTTCATTTACAGTAATACAATTTTATACTGTTTTAATATTTACAGTATGAGTACTGTTTTTAATTTACAGTACAAGTACCATATTTTTTAATTTACAGGTTTAATACTGTATATTGTATTCATTCTACTGTATTTTTATTTACAGTATTAGAGTATATTACAGTATTATTCCTTTTACATAATTAGATTTTTTGTCCGATTCACAGTAGAAAATAATTACAGTAGTAAACAAATATTTTCCCATAATCCTTGGCTATTTACAGTATCATACTGTTGGCACATTTAACTGTATTATACTGTACATATTACAAAAATCTGTTCGGGAAACAGTCGAGACTCGCTAGTTGATTTCTTCAATATTGCATCGTACTATTGTAGTGAAACAGAGCGTTACTGACAGACTGGGACGAGAGGAGCCGCAACAATGGAGAATATGAGGAAAATAATCAACATTCAAGCAGGATCAAGGCTGTTAAAGGGCACAATGGTCCGCTTACAGAATGGCATGTGGCTAAGAAGCACCAAAACACAATGTAGTTTGACAGAAAATGTAAAAAAAAATACTGATTGTTTTTCATATTATTATTTAGCCTGCTACTTTAACATTGCTTATTTTTTCTGTGAACATAAAAGGCTTTTGTAAATTTGAACCAATTAGCAACAATCCAGCTAATAACAGGCGACTGCCAACAATCAATAAACCTCATTAGTATTCACACAGTAAAGCGATTAAAGTTGTTTAGCAAGACGTTTTTAAATAAAAAGGCTAACGTGACGAGATGGATTGTGCCACTGCCAGTCTTCATCGTCTGTGATTATGTTCATCTGACTTCAGAAAGCGAGGCCTTCATTAAACCGGCCTTGAATGTCCGACAGTGGAAGCCTGTTAAATACTTGATGCTTGACTTGAGATGTTAAATCTGCAGTCCAGAGGAATTTAACTAACGTTTAATATTTCATCATCACCTTAAAGAAGACTTTGTTCTGAAGTGACCCTCCAAAATAGTGTAAAAGGAGATGTTTTCAGCATGTAATGTACAGTAAATCTGGGTGAATCCATGTGAAGATGAACAGTGAAGGATGTTGAGCGCCACCGTCTGGCATTACAGCATCCACTGCAGCAAAAAATATAAAGACCTTCTGGGTAAAATAATGATCAAATATTTATTGTTGTTAAAAGATAATTAATCATATTATTATTGAACATTTAATTTAATGATTTTTTACATTTAGTATGAATTTTATCATTATTGTTATCATTTAATATTTTAAATTTGCATTTATTATTGAGTTTGAATCAGTTTATTATTAATATGATTATTTAAATGTTTAACTTTTTACTATTTAAATATACATTTATAAAGTATTTCATATAAACTAAATTATTTAATATTTAAATGTTTTACATTCTTTAATTTAAATATACATTTATTATACAGTATGAATTATATTATTTAACAGTTCGATGTTTTACATTTAATTTAAATAGATATTTTTATAAATTTAGTATGAATTAGGTTCATTATTTAATATTTAAATGTTACATTTTATCAATTTAAATATAATTTTTTAATTATTGTTTAGTATGAATTATTTTAGATTATTTAAAATTAAAATGTTTTACTTTTTTATTTGAATATACATTTTATAAATTATTAAGAATGAGATGTTATTGAATATAAACAAATGACATTAAAATATATTTATTTAGTATGAATTAGATTCGATTATTATTATTAATAATATTTAAATGTAAAAAATAATTCAATTGAATAATAATACATTTGTGAATTATTTCATGAATTATTATTTAGTATGAAATAAATAATTACTTGTTCAATTTAAACAGTTTAAACACACATTTTTTTAACTAATGAATTTCCATGTTTTTCCAGTCTGTTGTGACATAATTTGTACAAAAAAAAATAATTTATATAGATTTCACTCACAAAAATTAATTCCCAGCTACTTAGACAATAAAAATATTCACTATACAATTATGCTTTTTAAAAATGATTTTATTAAGTTAATGACTTCCCCAGGCCTATAAAACACACATATATAAAACCCCATGGTTAATATTTCCATGTTTTCCATGAGCCTGGGAACCATATCTGCAAAAACACATGCTTCTCGCGTCACTTCTCCGAGAAAGGTTTTATTCATAACACCCGGAGTTCTACAAATATAGACTTTTCCCTTATAAAATCAAGTTATTTACAAACTCATCATTGTCCATCACAAAAAAAGAAATAATAACTTTAAAAACTAGTTCATCTCACATATAATCTGCAGGATCTGAATGTCCCCGGCAACTTAAGTGTGAAATTTGCCTTTGTTTCCTTAAAATATTATTGTCGGTGTCTTATTTTTTATTTATTTTTTGCTCATAAATGATCATTTTAATGTGGTTTTAGTGCCTTTCTTGAGCAGTTCATAGTCAAATCCCCTCTGACTATATGAAAACAGAAGCTCGCGTTGCACACACAGAAAGTCTGATGTTTGGGAACATAAGGGTTCGTCTGTTTAGGGGAACGAACCTTTAAAGGTGTTCTTTTATGAGTTGATGCAACATTTTGATTGTTTACCCAGGAAGTGTGTGTGTGTTGTCTCTCAGCTTGAGGAATGAAACAAACAAACAAACAAACGGGAAAGACCTTCTTGCTTCATCCAGGCAACTTCTCATCTGGCAAAAGTCCTGCTGGGCTTAGTTTTCTAGTTTCATCAGACATGATCTGTGTGTGTGTGTGTGTCAGTCGTCTGGTTCAGTAACACACTGCTCCACGATCTCCCGCAGGTTCGGGTTCTCCATGGCGGCCGCCACGCGCTCCTTATCGTTGATCTGTTTGTTAACTGAGAGAGAGCGACACAGGAGATCCAGTTAGGAGATTGAACAACTCTTACACCCTTATCATCTCACACTGATTTAATCAGGACACACTCCAGGACATTTCCAGATTATCATCGAGGGTCAGTGATCAAACACACTGTACAATAATCCAAGAGTCCGTTTCACACTTTCTAAAATGCAAAAGTTTTATCAATGGATGATCATTTTGGGGAATTTTGGCTTAATATTCTGTAATATAATCATTTATTGAATTTATTTTTTGATGGATGTCTCATTTGCCATCATTATATTTGATTAATTAATTTAAATGTTATATATTATTAAAATATATAAATTATTTTTTTGAAATATTATATACATTTAAATATATAAAATACATTAATGCATTTTTTTTAAAAACAAGTCATATACATGTGTGTATATATATATATATACATACACACACATACGTATATAACTTGTTTAAACTGTGTGTGTGTATATATTTATATATATATATATACATACATATATACACACACACTTTGACAATTTAAATGAATTAAACAATTTTTATTTCATATATAATATAATATGATTAATCTTATAATTATTTATTTTTTCACAAATTCCATTGTATGTCTATTTATGAACAAAACAATATATTATGTACTTTTACATTTGTTTATAAATTTGATGAAAATTAATGAAAAATAAAATCATATATATATATATATATATATATATATATATAATGATTATTTAATAAACTTTTTTAATTAAAATGATAAAATAAAATCATGCATTTAAATAAAAATAATTAAAATACAAAATATATAAACGATACATTTTTCTAGAAACTAAAACATTAAAAGGTCACGGCGAGCTTTGTTAATGAAGCGTGTGTTGATGATGTGCTAGAGAATGTGTCTGGCCCAAGGGTCGTGTGAAACTGTTGTGATGAAGACGAACACTCACTATCCTCCTCGGTCGAGTGCGTTCCCTCGGTTATGTAAATCTCCAGCTGGAAGGGAAGAAAGCCAGAAAGAAAAATGTGATCAGAGGCCGGAAAAAAAGAGACACCAGAAAGCAAAAGACATCAGAAACACGACGAGTCCGACAATAGCCGTCGCGTTCGCTTTCATTTAACGGCCTTTCATCAATGCGACACCTCATTAAAAGCCTCCATGCCAGGAGGAGAGTGTTTACTCTTCCCATTCTTTCCCATTTCCACACGGCTAATAATAGAGCATCCAAACATCCGAGGAAATCTCTGAATAACACTGAGCTTTAAAGGGTTATTCAACCAAACATGAAAACTCCGTTAGTAATTACTCGCCCTCATGTTGTTCAACCCCGTAAGACATTCAAATTAAGAGATTTCTGATTAAATCTGAGGGCTGGATCACTCCTCCATAGGCTTCTCTGTAATTGAAACTGGCCGGCTCAGAAAGTTAGTAAAGACATCGTTAAAATAGTCCGAGTGGCTCAACCTTAAAGGAGTAGTTCACTTTTAAACTTTTGCTGATAATTTACTCACCCCCAAGTCATCCAAGATGTCCGTGTCTTTCTTTCTTCAGTCGAAAAGAAATTAAGGTTTTTGATGAAAACATTCCAGGATTTTTCTCCATATAATGGACTTCAATGGGAACCAAACAGTTCAAGGTCCAAAAGACAGTTCAAAGCGAAGGTCTTATCAAGCGAAACGATCACTCATTTAAAAAATAAATAACAAAGTTCATTCAACAAATGAAATGAATTGACTCGGGAAAAGATTCGTTCATTTTGATAAACAAGTTCAAACAGGAGAGTCACGAACGCGCATCACAGAACAGAGCAAGGTGACCATTTGTGCTTATAAAACTTAAACTTTGTTATTTATTTATTAAATGAGCGATCGTTTCGCTTGATAAGACCCTTATTCATTGTCTGGAATCGTTTAAAGCCCTTTCAACAGTTTGCACTGAAACTGTCTTTTGGACCGTTTGGTTCCCAGTAAAGTCCATTATATGGAGAAAATCCTGGACGATTAAACCCCGCCCCCCTTGAACTGTGACAAAATCTTGTGTTTATAGAGTGAGTTCATGTAGTGTAACAGCGCAGCGCTTCTGGGCTATATGTCAGAACGCATCATCACACACATGACCAGCGTCGGCCAATAGCGAGCCTACGTGAGGGCGAGGACGAGTTTTCATGTTCGGGTGAACTAACCCTTTAACGGTGAGACGTACCTTGTGTTTGAACGGCAGGCAGCGCTGAAGTTTGACTTGTAAACACAAACCTGCAGGAACAGGGAATAACAGGAGACACAGGGTTAATTAGCTGTCGTTTCACACATATAATGCTGTCTGAATCATAATCACACTGTTCGCTCGTCAGCCGGAGGAGAACTGAAGAGACTGAGTCTGGCTTTGGTTCCTCTGCACTTTTGTCGCCATTTGCTTATTTTGGGGACATTTCATTTAATATCCCACAATATTACTGATCTCCTGCATTGACACCATTATATGAGAACTGGACTGAGCTGGACGATGACATCACATTTTTCTCCATTTTTCTCTTCTTTTTTATATATATAAAAATATTTTTATATATATATAAAAAAAACTTTTTTACAACACTACTGAACCATCACTGACCTTCCTTTAAGCTGTGACTGTGACACCATTTTCTTCCAGAAACAAACTTTGTTGCATTATTTTCCTGTTAGTAAGTAAAGTAATAAAAAGCGCTGTATAAATAAAGCGGACTCGACTAATCTACTAATCTAATAAAGTTAGCTTTAATCACGGCCGGAGGATCTCGGATAAACTTCAGAGAATCCCACCAGCAAAAACAATACAACAGTTGTTGTTTTTTTTATAGAATAGGAGGTATGGCAAAAATGACATGAAACATTACATAATTTCCCTACAATTTGATTGGTTCTTCATATGCAAACCCTTCTGTTACTATGTAGAAGCAAACTTATATCTCAAATCATAAAAAAAAATGGAAAAGGTTAGAAGTTCAGTTGATTACTCAATATGTCATGAGACTAGATTTATATTTTAGATATTGTTTCGCCAGCATCTCAGAATCTTCCACTGGTTTCAAGTATAATTTTGTATTTGTGACAAGTCATTTTCCTAATGCAAAACAATTTTTTATGTCTCTTGATTTTGAAGTGAAATAGGATTCACCCACTATTGCCTGCTGTGGATTGGAAATATTAATAAGTACAATAATTTATTTATACGGTTCACTATTCAGCTCTGTTGACATTCAGACAGTCGAGCTGCACTTGACGCTCACATTTATCTGACCGTTATTATAACCATCAGAACTTCATAACCGTGTTTTCTGCAGCATCAAACACCATTAGAGCTTCAGAACGCATTCAATCCTGTTCATTTCTAGAGAGAAAGCAAATATCAGCTCTGTGTAGAGTAATTCATATACAATATATATAATCTGAGAGTTTACACTGTTACTGTGTCTTCGATATTGTGTCGTTTTTAAGCCGGACAAGATAATGGATTAACAATTATTTAATGATTATGAACGGCCTAATAGTTCTGTTCTTGTTTTTTGTTGCTGGACGGTGTGATTGTGTCGTTGTCAATAAAAGATACGGTGTGTGTTTTCTGCATTGTCTGCTATCTGTGAGGTGCAGTGATGAACGATAGAGGTCACATGACTGTTTGGGCTTATCATTTCACACACGCAATCTTCGTGGGGACTCTCCATAAACGTAATGTTTCTTATATTGTACAAACCTGTATTGTTCTGTCCACTTAGGGCCAATCCCAATTCTACCCCTTACCCCTTCACTTTCCCCTTCCCCTCCGTTTTGCGCGTCCACGTGAAGGGGTAGGGCTGTCCCAATTCTCTTTTGGTTGGAGGGGGAGGGCTAGGGTGAAGGGCCAGATAGCCCTTCAAACGAAGATTTTTCGGGAGCACACTTCAAACGAAGGGGTATGAGAAGTGTCACTGCTAACCCAGCCTGGCTGCCCAAGTGACAAAGGAGACCCATAAATTTAAGTATTTGTGGCTTTAATAAGTATTATAACGACAAATAATGATTTGCTTTATGTTACATTCAATATTGTGTTCATATTTACGGTCAGTTTCTTCACAGAAACGTTTGTAAAAAAAATCGCTAAAATTACTGTAGTTTGCTAACGATAGTCCCGCAACATATTTTCGTCGTCTCCGTTGTTTCCTGCGAACTTCACAAGATGCAAGAAAATAGCTGTAACCCACGCGACAGATAACTGCAGCTGTCGACGGGATCTTGGAAGTTGTGATAAACATCGGCGCATATCCTGTGACGTAGGCACTAGCGACGACTTATAATGACGTTTAACGGAGGCGTAGTGGTGTCCCATTTCTTAGGGGAATATTTTCACCCCTACGCATTGCCACTCTGTTTTAAGGGTCAAGGGGAAGGCGAAGGGGTAGGGCTAGGGGAAAGGAAAGGGGTAGAATTGGGATTGGCCCTTACACTAACCTGACCCCTAACCCTACCTATCTTACACACATACACACCTATCAGCGTGGCCAGAGAGCAGTGTGGGACGGTGGGAGAGAACTTAATGATGATGAGGTATTCCTCGTCTCCGAGCTCCTGCACACTCACACACTTCTCCGTCACGACGTCGAGCTCCTCCAGAGTGTTGGGCTTCTCCGGATCACGAATCGTCCGGATCACGTCTTTGAAAACAGAGAGAATCTGAATAATATGATGGTATAATTCGAAGTACTCAAAAATGACTGTGGTAATGATTCAGTACATTGGTATATAATTGTGGTACACCATCAATTTAACATGGTAATACCTTGTTGTTGTGGATATGTACTATGGTAATATGATAGCATTCTTTAAAGTACTAGCCAGGAAAATATAATAGTATGATTATGGTGATGTTTACCACTGTATACAAATACAATATCATGCTATTTACACCTGACACCATCACTGTAACGTTACCATGGTATAACCTTGTTTTGTATTATGGATATGTAACGTTACAGTTAATATATCTTGGGATTCTTTGAAGTAACAGGTATTTGTTATATGAATACGGCAATGATTCCGTCCCATGGTTAACGTTATGACGTTATACATAATACAACCTTAATGTTCTGTGGTATTTATTTCCTACTGGCTGTTCCTTAAAACGTATTGCTAAGGTCATCGTTACTCACCATACACCTCCAGCGCTTTTTCCTCCATCTTCTTGCTTCTCTTGTCATTCGTCAAGTCAGAAAGTCCCGTGAGGATCCAGGCTCGGTTCAGTAATCCGAACACGAGCTCCATAACCCGGTCCGGTTCATCGCCATAGCTTCAACGGTCACGCGCTTCTGCTCTTCCGCGTTCACACAGAGTCAGACCAGAGCGATCAACAGCCGAAAGAACCGTTCGACAGGTGTTGACGCGGTTTAACGGTCATCAACATTGTAAATCTTTCATTTACTGTCAAACCGTCTTGTGCTATGGTGTTATTGACGTGTTTTCTTTTACTGTTCTTTATATTTGACATCATTCTCTCGAAAGTTGTGGGGGGAAAAAAGGAGTTTTCCTTTTACTAGTCTCTCATTTACATTTAAGATAATTAATCATTAATATTATGTACAAGTCATAATTATGAGATTTATAAGTCGAAATTATTACTTTCGTATGACATACTTTCGATAAAGCGTGTCATAATTTCTGCCTTTTCTCATAAACGAATCAATATGTCATATTTTAACTTTATGTGATAATTCCGATTTAATATGTCCATAATTTCGACTTTTTATCTCATATATACAACTTAGTACCGCATATTTTGACTTTTCATGTCATTAAATATTATTTGCAAAGTAAGTAAGTTGAGGAAATGGGTGTTGAGTTTGATTGGTTTTCCTGCCGTTCACGTGACGAGCGTGTGATAATCAGCTGGGGTTTGTTTGGATCATGGAGGCTGATATTTTGACTTTTGAACGAACGCTTTAGTTAGTTTGTTTTTTATTTTTCGGACTTTGTTATTTTCATCTCGATTGTCTCTTGGTTTGTGTTTCCTGGTGAAGGATGTGTGTTATTCCTGAGTGATTGACAGCGGTTCGAGATGCTGCAGGGGTTGAGCAGGGCAGAGGCGCTGGAGGTGGACCTGCTGCCGGACACGGGTGTGTGTGCAGGGGTTGAGGACTCAGGTGTGTGTGCCGGTGTTGAGGACACAGTGAGGGTCAGGCTCAGTAAAGGCCCGTCAGTGCTGTGCTGTCTGAATGCTGGAGGTGAAGTGACCGTGAGGAACATCTCTGAGAGCGTCAGATCCTCGCACACACTTCAGCACTCCTGCACTGAGTGAGTCTTTCACCGAAAATACTCTTTAAATGTAATATTTATGCATTTACTGTATGTTTACATTGCAGGTTACATTACATTGCAGGTAATTGCAGCTGTATGCGTCACCAGATTTCATACAAGGTGTTAAAGTATTTGACTTTTTGAATTCTGACTCCTGGAAAACCCTTGAAAACAGACATGTATGAAAAGCTTGAATTATTGAAAGACAATAAATGTGAAATGACTGCTTAATTTTATCGATAAAACAATCTTTTACAACAAAATGAACGCTGCAGCCCGTCTGTTATAGATATAAAGACATTCCGCATGGATATGAGTGTGATATTGCTTAAAAATATATATCTTTATCAGCAATATATTTATCATAGCATCCTTTCAATGGTTATAGTTACCACAGTCATTGCATCTGCTGAACTGTATTCGTACCATTTTGTTTATCTATTTACCTTTTTAGAATTTGAAAGATAATAAATATAATGTTTGATAAGTGAGATCTCTGATTGAAGTCCTTGAAAACAACAAAGTAGTGCTTGAAAAGTCCTGGAATTTCATTTTACAGCGACTCTGAACGAATCCTGTGTCATATTTTAATTGTTTACCATTTCTGTTATTGTTAAATCATGAAAACTGCAAATATATATATATATATAAATCAATATAACTATATTTTATATAATATATGTACATGTGCACACACACACATTCACTCACTCACTCACTCTGTTGTTTTGCTGTTGAGTTTCCTGTGGGAAGACCTGTCAGATCCCAGTGGTCGCGATGTGAAGCCGAAGCTGCTTCTGCTGGACTCTCAGTGGGATCTGAGACTGTATGAGCTGACCCCTCAGGATCAGGTTCTGCTCGTGTGTGTGACGCCTTCTGACTCGCTGCTGCGCTGCGTTCAGGACAAACACCCTGGTGAGAGAACACACACACATCTTTACTTTAGTGCTGGGCGGTATGAAACAAATTCTTGTATCGCGGTATTTTTCAAAATTACACCGGTTTCACAGTATATTACTTTTATTTTTTAAGCATGACTGGGTGTTAACCACATTTTCTACTAAACCACACTCTCACTCACTCACACACTCTCTTGAAGCTCCGCCCTCTTTGCGAAAGCAGCAGTTCATTTGCATTTAAAGAGACACACAACACCATTTTAAATTCTGCTGATGATCTATGTGATCACACACTCTCCTCCTCAGATGTGTGTGAGCTGCTCTCTCTCTCTCCGCTGAGCTTCACCGATGGCCTGTGTGTTCTGCTGGTCAACACGTGTGTCCTGCTGACGCTGCGCTGGACGGAAGAGACCTCAAGCCTCGATACACACTCCTCCTGTCGCCTCGACACCCCGATCCCGACGGGGGGATCCTTCGTGGATCAGCGGCTCTGCCGGGGGACGCTGTTCCTCCTGCTCAGCACTGGACTCGTGTGTATCCTTGTTCAGTATATCGGTTATCGGCTTTCAGATATTAAGAATTATCGGTGATCGGTGGTCGCTGCATCCTTATTAAATACTTATTATTTTTACATTATAAAATATATTCTTATGACAGAGAAATGACGGTCCTTCTCTGAGCCAGACATGATGCAGTTCACCTTTGACATGTTTGAGGTTTATTTATGGACTTTAGGACGTATTTTTATTGTAATTGTACATACATGAATCAATCTAGAAGATAGTTTTTAAAAAAGGCTTGTGAAACACCAAATTCAAAATATATATTTTTTTTATAATTTTTTTTTACTTTTTGATTTTGAAGTGAAAAGTAAATATATAATATAATATACAAAAATATATTTTTTAATAATATTAAACAATTAATTTAAAATAATATAATATAAAAAAATCTGACGTATTCAAAACTTTTAAAAGATATTAAATAATTAATGTAATATAATATAATATTGTAAATAAACTCACAATTATTTTAAATAATATAATATTTTTTTTACAAATCTTAAGTGTTTCAAACTTTTAAATTATATTAAACAATTAATATAATATAATTAAATACACACACTACTGCTCAAAGTAATTACATTGTTTATGTTTTTGTATGTATGTATAATGCTCACATGCATAGTACAATTAAAATATTTCATTATATTTAAAAAAAAAAATATTTGCACAAAAAAGCTTTTTTTCAGTGGTTTTAAATGCAGTACAAATAAATACTACCATAATGTAAATACTTTTTATTTATGTATTTAGTAATTTTTGAATGAATGTCTCTTTCTAAGTGTGTCTGATAGTTTTAGCCGTGTTTTCTTTGACGCTGAGTGTCAGACGTGTTGGACGGCACTGACGGGAAGCTCCTGGCGACGGTGGACTTTCCCTCATACTGCGGGTCAGCTGACCTTCCTCCGTCCGTCTTGTTCTGTCTGATCCAGATCTCGCGTGATCTCAGCACAGCGGTGACCGTGACCCGGCAGAACCAGGCCCTCGCCCTCGACCTCAACCACTACTTCCGGTGCGCTGTATACCTAATCACATATTCAATTCATTCTGCAATTAATATTATACGACACGTGTAGGGATGTAACAATATATCGGCCCACAATATATTGCAACACAAAAATGCAACAATATGTATTGTGGATAGTTCCCCCAAAATAAAAATTACTGTGTGAGGAAAAATTCAGGTTTTCAGAGTTTTAGTGTCAGCACTACATTAAACTGATATATTTAATGTTGATTATAAATATGCAATGGGGGAATATTTGTGGTCCAGATAATGCAAAATGTCTTATTTTACCTTACCAGTATAAAGAGACTGTAATATAAATATAAAATATAAAAATAAAAGCTAATTCAAAATAATAATACATTTAAAATGTATTGCGTTCATTTAAATGTATAAAAAATATTTATAAATAATAGTATATTAACAATATCACTGAACACATGGCGACCTGCAAAAATATGTAATATACTAATATAATATATAACATAATAATATGATATAATATAATATAACATAATATTATATCATATCATATCAAAATGTAAGTATTCCAAACTTTAATTATATTAAACAATATATATATTGTTATTGTTATATATATATACGAATTTATTATAAATCAAATTACATTTAATTGCAGCTGTATACTTTAAAGTAATTATTATTATATTTTCTATTTCTAAACTGCAAAATGTATTCCAGATTTATTCCTTATTTTTTGTGTGTATAGCTTTTGCCCCATCTGATAATTATTACATTTATTTATTTAATATATTTGTTTACTTTATATAAATATGGTATAATATTAAGAACAATTTGTAATAGGTAAATACTGCTTTTATTATTATACTGTACAATTAAAATGTATAAATGTAATAATATAAATATAAAGACAAGCATCTTGGATATGTGGATCCATTATATATCACATTGCAGCTGTATACCTTATATTATTGTTATTATTATATTTTCTTTTGTTGTCAAATATCTTGAAGTAAACTGCAATTTCCAGATCTATTCCCTATTGTTTTCTGTGTGGATTTCAGGATGTATCCGGATCACTTATATTGTCGCACCGCCGCTAATCCGCCGTTTCCCAGGCCCACTGAATCATGGGATCAGGACAGCCTCGCAAGCTCCGCCCACAGCCTAACCATACTAGAGAAACCCTTCCAAACAGACAGGTATGTTTTAAATTGAGTTCATCTGAAAGCTGAATACATACGCTTTCCATTGGGATAGGACAATATTTGTCTGAGATACAAATATTAAAAATCTGGGATCTGAAGGTGCAAAAAAATCTAAACATTGAGAAAAGTCGTGCATTTACAGGTGAAACTCGAAAAATAAGAATATGGTGCAAAGGTTCATTTATTTCAGTAATTGAACTTAAAAGGTGAAACTAATATGTTATACAGACTCATTACATGCAAAGTGAGATATTTCAAGCCTTTATTTGTTATAATTGTGATGCTTATGAAAACCAAGGTTTTCATATCTGTAACCCATAATCTTCAAAATAATAAAAAATAAAGGCTTGAAATATCTCATGAATGGCATTAAAACATTTTAAAATAGCATTAAATAGGCATTAAATTTCATTTGAAGATAGGTTTGAAGGTTTGTGGTCCAAGGTCACATATAAATCTGACTTCGTCTTTATAATGCAACATAATGCATCACTCTCACTCTGCTTCATTTCCCGGGCCGTTTAAATGTGTCCAGGTCGTGGGAGTCGCGTCTATCGCTGCTGTACAGTCGATGTAAAGGCCCACATCGCCCGGCTCGCAGGTTCCCCTGGTTCAGAGACTTCACACACATCGAGTGCCGTCGGGCGGCCGCCACTGCCAAACTCTCCCAGTCCTCCGTGAAGCCAGGGGGCGCTGTGACGTGTTTCACCGTGCCGGAGAGAGCCAGGCCGACGGGCCTGAACGTGTCAGAGTTCTCCGCGCTGGTTACGTTCGTTTCTCCTGGGAACGCAAACACGGTTCTGGCCTACTGGGATCTGGAGGGTCAAAGCGTCACGTACCAGCGGTCGGACGCTCCTGCCGTTCCCGTCCAGAGGTCTGACGACGAACACCTGTGTCTGTTACTGAAGGGTGAGACATCTGTTCATCTGACCTCTGACCTTATGACCTGTTTTTATTTTAAATGCACTGGCTGTCATGTTGAACATCAGCGCAAAATTCAAGAAAATTACGCCCCTTTTTTAGGACCATCAATTTTAAACAAAACATTTTTCTCCCAAAAAATATTTCTGTAAGGCTATAAGCATATGTTTTTTAAGCATTTTTTTTTTTTTTTTACATTTTAATTAGAGACGCAAAAAGCAGCAATACTCAACAATGACGTAACATAATCTATTTAAGCATTCACAGTAACTCTTAAATACATAAATGTTTAAATAAATAATTTATTTATTAAAGCATTTTATATGTATATTAATTATACACATTTTTATTAATTTAAGAAATTATTTAAATAATTATTTATTTCAGCATTTATTTAACCATATTTTCAAGCATTTTTATTTAAACATTTGCAGTATTAAACATTTATGTATTTGTTTAGTAATTCATACATTTTTTTGTGCTATTTATATCCAAAATAATTCTTTAATTTGTCCTGTTCTTTTGCATTTATTTAAGCATTTGTTTAAACATTTATTAAGCATTTTTTTATTTACTGTAAGCATTTATTTAAAGTATTAAGCATTTATGTATTTAGGAATTCGTTCATTTATTTAGGCGTTTATTTACATAAGAGTTTATGTAAATATTTATTAATGCATTTATTTATCCATTAAATCATTTTTGTTAATTTATGCATTTAAGAATTTATTTAAATAATATTAACATTAATTTATTTTAGCATTAGTTTAAACATTTATTTATGCATTTATTTATTTTAAGTATTGTAGTATTATTTGTGCTGGCTGTATTCGTGGAAATTACTAATATGGCTTAATTTTCTCTTTTATGCAAAATAAATTCTCATTTTTATTTATTTATTTATTTTTTTGCTTACGCTTAGGTTAATGTGATCTGCTCATTCAGCTGGTATATAAATAAGATTTGAGTGTGTGCTTACAACCAATACTGTGATGGTGCAATGGTACACCGACTGTATTACCATGTCACATTGAGTATATATCATGTTACTGAATGATCATCTGTGTGTGTGTGTGTGTTTTAGCGTCGGGTCTGTCGGTGGTTCTGTTCTGTGTGACGCAGGAGGAACTGTTGAACCGGCTGATGGTGTTTGGCACCGCTGGTACGGTCGACTCGCTCTGCCATCTGAACGCATGGGGACGCTGTTCAATACCCATACATGCCCTACAGGTACACACACACACACACACACACACACACACTATGGCATTTCATCCATATAGCATTAATGAAACCCAGAGAATAAAGCGTTAAAGAGGACCTATTCTGCTATCTTTATCTTTCTTTAGTGTGTAGTCTTGAGTTTCTCCCGGGAACGAACACGTCACAATATTCCTCATTATAATATTTCATACGTAGATTAAAGGGGCGGGGCCTGGTTCAGTTAGTTAGTACTGTGTTAAACTGGCGGTTATGGTAAGGGGCGGGACATTTCCCAAACACACTCAACCAATCACAATACACTGATCCAGCCGACCAATCAGAGCACAGTGTGCTTTTCAGAAGGAGGGGCTTCATAGAGACAGGAAGTAAACAGAGCGTTACTGACAGACTGGGACGAGAGGAGCCGCAACAATGGAGAATATGAGGAAAATAATCAACATTCAAGCAGGAAAACCTGCTCTAGTAGAGCCTGAAACAACATCAAGACTGTAAAAGGGGCATAATAGGTCTTTAAAAATCTTTTAATCATGGTTCACACAACCTCAAACTTGACTGCTTTGTGTCTGAAATGTCAGTAAGTCTATGTGAATATTGTGTTCATTTCAGGCCGGCCTCAAGAACCATCAGCTGGACACGGTTGATTTCTTTCTGAAGAGTAAGGAGAACATCCTGAGCCCCGCGTCTGGGTTTGTTCTGCCCGATCAAACGCCGGTCGCCTCGACCCAAACGCAGCTGAGGAGTAAGACACCCGCTTTAATGAGATCTTCTGATCCTAACCCCCTTCTCCACCCGCTGCTCAATTAAACGATCTGAAGAAGTCTTCTCTCAGATCTGCAGGTTATCGAAGGTCAGGAGCAACGGCGTCTTTAATGGGCCTCGGTTTTAGCTTACGACCTCAGTGATTGGATCTCATGAAAGAGGAAATAGGAAATAGGTCTTTCTTATTTCAGTTATCGGTCATATAAGAACTCTTGGCTGAAATATTAAAGCTGATGAATAATTTCAGACACTGTTCAACATTGCTTGGAATCACTTCAAAAAGGAAAATACAGTTCAGTGCGGTACAATTATAATGAGGACTTTATAATTGTGTGTTTAAAACGTGGCTTTTAATGATGAGACTTTTGTTTTTGTAATCAGGCTCTCAAGAATTATATAAAAATGTGGATTTAGATTTATCGGCCGATATATCGGTTATCGGCTTTCAAATATAAAGAGTTATCGTATCGGCCCAAATTTTCATATCGCTTTATCTCTAATTATACTGAATAATATTAGAAAGAATGACTACTGAAGGATCATGTGACCCTGAAGAATACAGTAATGATGCTGAAAATTCATCTTTGATCACAAAAATAAAACATAAATTAATTACATTCTAAAATATAAAAAAGTTATTCTTAAATTGTAATAATATTTCAGTGTTTTACTATATTTTTGATCAAATGAATGCAGCCTTGGTAAGCAGAAGAGACACTTTTTTACAAATATTAAACATAATTATTCCACACCTCTGACTGTGTGTGTGTGTGTACCAACTTAAATATATTTTGGGGACAAATTTGTACCAATAAGAGACCAAAATATGAAAAAATAAAGTAATTAAAATAGGATTTTTTTAAATGTAAAAATGCTGAAAGTTTTCTTTGATGGGTTGGGTAGGTTTAGGGGTAGGGTTAGTGTGTGTGTGTGTGTGTGATAGGTAGGGTTAGGGGTAGGGTTACTTTGTGTGTGTGTGTGTGTGTGTGTGTGTGTGTGATTGGTAGGGTTAGGGGTAGGGTTATTTTGTGTGTATGTGTGTGATGGGTAGGGTTAGGGGTAGGGTTATTTTGTGTGTGTGTGTGATTGGTAGGGTTAGTGTAAAGGAATAGAATATACAGTTTGTTCAGTATAAAACCCATTATGTCTATGGAATGTCCCTGCTTAGATAGCTAAGTAAACGTGTGTGTGTGTGTGTGTGTTTTTCAGATGTTCAGGCTCTGTGTCCGGCGCTGGATCTGCTGCGTTCTGCCATACGGGACACACACACAGAAGCCCAGAGTCATCAGTTCTGTGAACAACTGCTGAGCATCACGCTGACCTTCCTCAACACACAAACCAAAGTCCTCCTCACCAGCGCACACGGTAAACACACATGCCATCTCAGAGAAGTGAGCGCTTATTCAGTGACGTCAAACTGGAATATGTGTGTTCAGGGTTCGAACCAGGTGCTTAAAGTACTTGAACTAAAGTTTAAATCCGGGGAAACCCTTGAAAACAGAAAGTTTTATGAAAAAGTACTTGAAAATTGCTTGAAAAAAGTACATGTATACTTATGAAATTAGTGTTTCATTTTTTAGAAAAAAAACAAATAGTTTTTTCACGCAAAACGAATGCTGCAGATTTTGAGCCGAAATGGCTATTAGCGTGATGTTGCTCATATATTCCCTAGTTCATTCTTCAGGTTAATCACATATTCATCTGTTTGAATGAGGACATCATTTATATCCTTATAATGGTTGAGGGGATTTCATATGACGGGCTTGAATATCCTATTAAAATAAAATGGCATTTCTGGATTATCTATTTTAGAATTTGAAATATAATAAATGTATAGTTTGATAAATGAGATCTCTGATTGTATTCCTTCAAAACTAAACAGCAGATTGATTTGACCGTATATGTGCGAAACACTGTGTGTTCTGCAGAGCTGGACGTGAACCGGCAGGAGTGTGTGCAGATTTTAGACGGCTACATCTCTGATCTGCGCGGGTTCATGAAGAAGTTCCCGTGGGCAGACGGAGGTGAAACACCGGTGTGTGTGAGCCCACGAGCTCCTGCGTCCAGCGCCGACACCGACTCGGAGTGGCAGTCGCTCTCTGATGTGGTCAGTCTACAAGAAAAAAAAAAAAGAGTCAAAAGCTCCTGCATCCTTTTCCACGAAACGTGACATCAGGCCTGATATATGTTTTGTGTGAGAGAGTGAGAGTGTCTGTGAGTATGGGAGAGTGTGTGTACACAAATGGACAAACACATTGAACTTTTGTTCTTTGTGTGCTTTCAGAGTGCTGTATTGATATACTGATGTAGATCTGATAGTGTTTGGCGCCCTCTATTGGTGTAACAATGTAACTTTCACTGAAGTCAGAATCACAATCTCTAACAGACCTGTTTTCAATACCAAATAAAGCATATTAATTATATAACTATAATATTTAAAGTCCCCCTGTGGTAAAAATCCAGTTTTACAATCAGATTTGATGCATAAACATAGCCATTGTGTTAAGACTTGCTTTTCGGTATCAAATTAGACCAATCTACGTTTTTATAACTCGCTTGAGAAAGATATTACAGTCTTAAAAGATAACAATGTATGAGTAACTTGTGTGTTTCAGGGTGTTGTGCAGCGCGCTGTATTGAGCAGAAGGATCCCACAAGCTCAGGCTTTTCTGCGCAGACGCGGCTCTGTTGAATGCAGTCTGGAGGACATCAGGAAGACCGGATTGAGACACACCTTTACCTGTCTCACTCACAGAGACCTGGAGCAGGCTAAAACACTGCTGACTAACATGGTACACACACACACAGCTGGAATACTGTACTGTTCACAAGTTTGGGGTCTGGAAAGACTGTTTAATGTTTAAAGAGTCTCTTCTGCTCAACAAGACTGGATTTATTTGATTGAGTGAGTCAGTGAGTGAGTGAGTCAGTGAGTGAGTCAGTGAGTGAGTGAGTCAGTGACTCAGTGAGTGAGTCAGTGAGTGAGTGAGTCAGTGACTCAGTGAGTGAGTCAGTGAGTGAGTGAGTCAGTGACTCAGTGAGTGAGTGAGTCAGTGAGTCAGTAAAATGTGTGAAATATTATTAAATTCCATCTGAATATATGTTAAAATGTAATTTATTCCGGTGATCAAAGCTGAATTTTCAGTCTTCCAGTCTTCAGTGTCACATGGTCCTTCAGAAATCACTGTAATGTGATGATCTGCTGCTAAAGAAACATTTATGATTATCATCAATTATAATGTATATGGACACCAAGGCCCATTTTATTTTTAAGGATTCATTGATGAATTTACTGCCACTTTTGATCAATTTAATGTGCCCTTGCTAAATAAAAGTATTGATTTCTTTAATATCTTAATGACTGTGTGTGTTGCAGGGCTTTAATGTGAAGGAGCAGCTTCACCGCATCTGTGTTTTCACTGCCGATCGGGATCTAAGGGCCTTCATGGTGAGAATAAACAACATATGGGCAATCTAATCCCTAAAATAAAACTCTTATCACGGTTTAATCACTGTCTGGACTTTTTTTAACATCTGTGTAATTTTAGGGATTATTTGTTGCTGTTTTAGTAATATTGCTTTGTTTGCTGGCGTTCCCAGGTTGAGGAGCTGCAGAAGCAGAGTTACGTCTCGCGTGAGGAGTTTGAGCAGGTGGAGTTCATTCAGACAATCGAGAGCTTGTGTTCGACTCCTGCGACGAGATGCTCAGGCCGTCTGGACAGCAGCAGGCGAGTGTTGCTCTCTGGGTTTCTCTTTCAGATGTTGTTTGAAGCATATTTGACACTTTTATTGACACAGGAAATGATGTGGGCGGTACAGAATGTTGCAAGCTGGACTTGAGTTGATTATCATTTCCAAAGCGTGGCTTGTGTTGACATGAATTAGACGTCTTTAAGCTAGCAAATTAAGCATTCACTTTTTAATGACAATTTACTCCCCAAATTCTCATTCTGTCTGTCTATGTTTTGTTTAAATATTTTTTTTATTATTATTGAACATGTATAACAGCAAATAAATAGTTACAACTCAAAACAGAATTAGTCAACAATAATAGAATTATAAACAGTAGACAAAAGCCAGTAAAATAAACAGACCAAAAACATTGAGCCAGGGGTAACATATAATTTAAAATAAATCAAATTCAAGAGAGAGAAATGCCTTGATGCCTTTTTTCCCCTCCCATTATATAAAAAAGCATAAATATTATACTTTGTGGACAACGTAACTGACTTTAATGCTTTGACGTTGCTGGAAGAAGAGATGGTACCCAAATAACATAAATAACATCAGGGCTTTGCATTTTGTTTAAATGTTCTACATAAAAAATCTGAAGCCATGACATCGTCATATTGAGTACTGGATTGCGATTGGTCCTCTTTCATGTGTGTATTTGCATACTCAATTGTGATTTGCTCTTCTTTCTTACATTTATTAAACCATTGGCTGTAAAAAAAAAAATTGTTAAGAAAATATAATTAAAAATCAGTTTTTATGTCGTTCATTTGTCAAGTTTTATTCTGGTAAGATCACAAACCTGTGAAATAATTAAGAGATAATACAATATTTTTTTGCGGATTGGAAATTAGATTATTTTTTTAGGCCTCTAAAATACTTTTTCTATTATTTTGCATAAATTTTACTCCACTTTGTTAAAATGTTCTGCGTTTAAAATCTGACATCATCCTGATATTACATACTGGATTGCGATTGGTCCTCTTTCATGCGTGTATTTGCATTCTCAATTGTGATTTGTTTATCTTTCCTAAATCTATTTAGCCCTCAGTTGCTTATTTTTAACACTGTAAAAGGAAAAAGCAAGAAAGAATTAGAGAATAATTTAAAAGGCAAGTTGAAATTAATTCGCAACAAACGTAAAGACTAGATTTAGGTAATTAATTTCTGAGGCTTTTATTCACAAGCCACTCCAAAAATGTTTCACCTCAAAAAATAATAAGTTGCATATAGCAAATTAAGCTTTTTTAACACTTAAAGGTACAGTGTGTAAGTTTTAGCGCATCTAGTGGTGAGGTTGTGAACTGCACACAACAGAAGTTACGGTGGCCGACAGGAAGTGATGTCGTCGTCTGAGACAGCAGAGAGTAGACAGTTAAACAATGAGGATTCTTTACAAAGACAAATTAAGAAATTAGGTTTACTTAATTATTCAGTAAAAAAACGTTATTGCGAATATTATTATTATATATCAGTGTTTTACTTGCTGACTTTAGCAGCTTCTTTACACGAAGAACAACATAGTGACGAAACGCGTTTGTCCATTCAGGGCCACCGTAGAAACATGTGGACGTAAGCGGGCCCGCCGTGTGTAGAGAGAAACGCCTCATTCTAAGCTAATAAACACAAGGGTTTATAAACCACTGAAGACATAGTTATGTTTATGATATTGCATTTCTGTCAACAGATCCTCCTAAATATTACACACTGCACCTTTAAGGCTGAAAGTGAGTTGTGTGGGTCTTCTGTGCAGGGTTCTGCAGATAACCAGGTCCGATCCCGACAGCAAAAGAGTTCTGGAGGAGATCCTGCCGGAACCAGAGGCGTCGTCCTCCGGGTCGGTACTGGACCCCGTGCGTCTGGACTGGGTCAGACACTGGGACATAGACGCTCAGAACGCCATCCTTCTGTCCCGACTGCAGCCGTCCAGTGAGTTCAACACGGCTGACGCTTTTAAAATCATTCAAATAAAGTATTACAGTCTTAGTAGAGATCAAGTGTACCGGTAGGGTACACCCGCTTTAAGTCGTCGTCATTGTTGTTGTTGCAGCTCGGGGTTCGTGGGACGCCGCTGTCTTGTGGTCGTATCTCACCTCTCTGCACGATTCTGTGCGGGTGTGTTCATGGATCTGCGGTTCTGCTGGAGAGAGGCCAGCGCTCACAGCGGACGTCATCAACAGCAGCAGCCGGTGTGGGGAATACCTGCGCCACCGAGTCCTGGACCTGCTCGCCCGGTCAGAGCCGCTCACATAAACACATCACCAGACTAGTCATTAGACTAAACTGCGCCAGGCTGAAACTAGCAAGAAACACTAGCATTGCGCCGGGTGTGTGATAGGGTCCCTAATGTTAGTGTTGCTGTGTGTGTTCAGACAGGGCCTGTTTGTGCAGTCCGAGATGGAGGACTTTGAGCAGTTGCTGTGGCGACTGGGTCAAGCTGGTGGAGTGATGCATCATGGGAACGGCCCTCCCGTCGCACAGTTCCAGGGGTCACAGGGTCAGGAGTTTCACCAGCGCTTCGTCCTGCACTGCCTGCAGAACAGCCTTCAGTACCTGCTCTACTGCTACCTGGAGCACTACAGGTGAGGCCCGGGACTGCGCTTACTGTATACAGCCAAGTGAAAACTCTCCTTTACGCTGTTTACATTACTAGAAGATTCAACTTGTTTTTTGGAGTGTGTGTGCGAGAGTGAATGTGTAAATGCATATATTCATATATATGTGTGTGTGTGTGTGTGTGTGTGATTATAAATATAAAAATGGAAAAAGTATTTTTTTTAAATGTGTATAAAATAATTGCCTAAAATTAATAAATTGCATGTGAATGTGTGTGTGTATATATATATATATATATATATAAATGGAAATATACTTTAAAAAATGAAAATGTATATAAAATAATTGCCTAAAATTAATAAATTGCGTGTGTGAGAGTGAATGTGTGTATATTTAAATATATATATATATATACACGTATACATGTATACATATAAAATGGAAATATTCTTTTAAACATAAAAATGTATATAAAATAATTGCCTAAAATTAATAAATTGCATATTAAATATAAAAAAGTATAACTTGTATATGCACAATTTTGATATGCACACTATGAATATTAATTCCAAATTCCAAAATTACCCAAAATTTATAAAATTTTTATATAGCAATTTATACTTAAAATCTATAAAATGTTAAGAAATATATACAGTGTAGGGTGGGCGTCTGTGTATAATTTTTACAAATAAAAATAAATATTATAATTTTATATTTATAAAAAATTGATCGAATTTATTGCCCTAAAATGTATAAATAATAAAAAAATTTAAAGAAAAAAAATTATAATGCATATATCCACACTATAAAAAATATATATAATGAATTAAATAATATATTTTAAAAAATGTATGAATTGTGTCTGATATGTTTTTTAGTAGAAGTCATCTGATGTGCATGTGTTTCTCTCTTTCTCTCTGTGCTTCAGGTTAACTCCGGAGAATTGCCCGGTTCTGAGCGACAGGAACCTGTTCGAGAGTTTCCCCTGGTTTGAGATGATGCTGAAACTCCAGAATATTACCAGAGACCTTAAAGGTGCGAGTGTTTTCATTCAACGTCGTGTACGAATAGTGTTCTAATCTGTCAGTCTATGGTTTCTTATAGGTTCATGAAATACGGCTTTTCATTTCTCAGAGGGAAAAGTGTTCTCAATGTGTGTGTTTTGTGTTTCAGACCCCGAGCGTGTGTTTGAGGCCAGTGTGACGTGCGCCCAGGTGCTTCTCCCCGGCAGTCAGGCCAGCATCAGCAGCATGTTACTGGAGGGTCACAGTCTCCTCGCCCTGGCCACTATCATGTTCAGAGCCGGCGGCATTGACCAGGTGTGTGTGTGTGAGAGAGAGTGTGTTACTGGATGGTCTCTTCGCCCTGTCCACTATCATCTTCAGAGCCGGCGGCATTGACCAGGTGTGTGTATGAGAGAGAGTGTGTATATATGTGTGACCGTGTGTCCTCTGTGTGCAGGCGGTGCGTGAGGGCGAGCGAGGGCAGGACCCACTGAGCAGAGTCGACCCGCAGCTTCTGAGAATGGCTCTGAGTGCGTATCCCAAACTCAGGACGGCCCTGTTCCCCCAGAGCGTCTCGAGAGACACATCCCTCTACAGCCTCATGCAGGTGCGCACACACACCACTGACTCAGTTGTGACTCTCTTGTGAGTGTTTGAGTGAGTCAGTGAGTGAGTCAGTGAGTCAGTGAGTCAGTGAGTCAGTGAGTGAGTGAGTGAGTGAGTCAGTGAGTCAGTGAGTGAGTGAGCGAGTGAGTCAGTGAGTGAGTCAGTGAGTGAGTCAGTGAGTCAGTGAGTGAGTGAGTGAGTCAGTGAGTGAGTGAGTCAGTCAGTGAGTGAGTCAGTCAGTCAGTGAGTGAGTCAGTGAGTGAGTCAGTCAGTGAGTGAGTGAGTCAGTGAGTGAGTGAGTCAGTGAGTGAGTCAGTGAGTGAGTCAGTCAGTGAGTGAGTCAGTCAGTGAGTGAAAGAGTCAGTGAGTCAGTGAGTGAGTGAGTGAGTCAGTGAGTGAGTGAGTCAGTGAGTGAAAGAGTCAGTGAGTCAGTGAGTGAGTGAGTGAGTGAGTCAGTGAGTGAGTGAGTGAGTGAGTCAGTGAGTGAGTCAGTGAGTGAGCGAGTCTGTGAGTGAGTTTGTGAGTGAGTGTGAAAGCATCAGTGTGTGTGATAGTGTGAGCGTCAGTTTGTGAGCGTGTTTGGGTGTATGTGTGATGGTTAGGGTTAGTGTGTGTGATGGGTAGAATTAGTGTAGGGGATAGAAAATACAGTTTGTCCAGTATAAAAACAATTACTCCTAAGGAATATCCTCACAAGTATAGCAAAACAAACCTCTGTGTGTGTGTGTGTGTGTGTTTCCTTCCTCTAGTCTTTGGATCCATTGGATCCCTCCAAACTCTTCGGATGGCAGTCGGCCAACGCCGTGGGCAGCACCGGTATGCAGTTACACGTTATCGTGTAAAAAAAAAAGAAAAGTTTTTTTTAAAAACAGAAAAGTTCACTTTTTCCTGGGACTGAGAGATTTTATTCGCTAAATGATGTATTTCTGAAATCTTCCAGAAACGTTGAGCGAGCCGCCCCATTTCTCCAGCCCTCACCTGGTCAATAAATTTGCGGTGGTTGAGAATCTGGATTTCCTGTATTACCTGCGTCACGGCCGGCCTTCGTTTGCCTTCGGGGTTTTTCTCATGCAACATCTTATCAACTGCAGTAATGTGAAGCTACAGTGAGCAAAACATTTAAACACTGAAATCATTTGCAAATTAAACCTAAATAATACTTTACAACAAGGTTCTATTTGTTAATGCATGGACTAATATTAACTAACAGTGAGGAATACATTTGTTACCTTTTTTAATTAATCTGTTGTAACAATTTTTTATTAAACTGTTGTCAGTATTTAGTTTTTTAACGCATTTTTTAACACATTGTAAGCATGATTTAACTTGTTCCTGGCATTATTTGGCACATTATTAGCATGTTTCTAGCTTGAATTACGACATTGCTAGCAATTTTTAGCGTGTTCTAGCACGTTGTTGGCATGTTTAGCATGTTTGCTAACATGATTTACCACGTAAACAAAATTCTAGCATTATTTAGCATATTGCTAGCATGTTTTAGCATATTGCTAGTATGTTTTAACGTTGTTAGTATGCTTTATCACATAGCTAGCATGTTACTAGCATTATTCAGCTCATTGCTAACATTATACTTGTACACTGCTAGCATAAATTAGCATGTTGCTAACATGTTTTAGCATTTTGTTAGCACATGGCTAGCATGTCAAGCCAACAAAAGCTTAAACAGTGGATCAGTATGATAATAGCTAAATAGGTATGACTAAATATTTAGAAATAACTAGCTAATACCTTGATGTTTCTGTGCTCAGGTTGTCTCTGGGTGCGGATCAAGCGTACTCTCTCGGCCTGTCGAGTTTCAGCAGCGCCTGTGTGTCGGCGGCATGTGTGTGTTTTTGTGAGCTCATAGGAGTGTGTAGCCACAAACTGAGGGTGGATCTGCGAGCGCTCAACCTCATCCTCAAACTCTGGACTCAGAACCGCGAGGACGGAGCCGCAGCATCGCTCACACTGACCCTCGGTGAGTCAGCACACGTCTCTTCCTGCATTCAAACTCGGATCACCTGTCCTTTTGAAGCGATGTGTTTATTAGCTGATTTTCACATTGCTAACAGCCTGTTAACACATACTAGCAATGTTAAAACATGTTAGCAACATGTTAGCCATTTTGTAAGACATGTTAATTCATGCTAGCAATTTACTACAACGTGCTAGTAACATGCTAGCAACATGCTAAAGTATACTAACAACATGTTAAAGCATACTTTAAAGTATACTAGCACTGTACTAAAACATGCTAGCAACATGTTAGTAATTTGGTAAGTCACGCTAATTAATTCTAGCAACATGGTTTTTCATGCTAGCAATCAATGTACTAAAACATTTTAGTTGTAACATGCTAACATACTAGCAATGTTAAAACAGTTATTTGGTTATACATGTTAATTCATGTTAGCAATGTACTAAAACACATTAGCAACGTGTTAAAATATATTTACAACATATTAGCACTGTACTAAAATATGCTAGTAACACGTTAGTAATTTGGTAAATCATCTTAATTCATTTTAGCTACGTCAAAAATGTTTGCAACATTGCAATTCATGGTAGCAATGTGTCTAAAACATGCAGGCAGCATGCTAAAACATATAAACATGTTAAAACATATTAGCAATGTGTTATAACATGCTAGCAACGTGTTAGTAATTTGGTAAGTCACGCTAATTCATTTTTGCAACATAGTAATTCATGTTAGAAATGTGCCAAAGCATGTTAGCAACATGTTAAATCATATTAACAACATGTTAAAACACACAAGCAATGTGGTAAATATGCTAGTAACATGTTCGTAATTTAGTAAGCCATACGAATGCATTCTAGGAACATGCCAAAAATCTTGCAACATGGTAATTCATACTAAAACATGCTAGCAAAATGCTAAAGCATATTAAATGTTAAAAGAAACTAGCAATGTGTGAAAACATGTTAGCAACATGCTAAAGCATTTGAACAACATGTTAAAACACACTAGCGTTTGTGATAAAGCATTACATGTGGTGGTTTTAAAGGGATGGCATGCGCTGATTAGCTCCCACTCTCTCTGTGCTCAGGGGAAAAGGCGAGTAAGTTGTGTACGTCTGAGAGGGCGACGGCTCAGGAGCTGCTGGTGGATCTGGAAACTGCAGTCAGAGACGGACTAGAGAAGAGAGGAATCAGTCGGTCAGTGTTTCAACATTCACACACTGGGAAAACACTGCAGATCGGCACCTTTAGGGTTAAACTAATAGGGTTAATTTATTTTTATTTACGTTTTAGTCGTTTTAGTACTTAGATTTATACTAGTGTTGGGCAATGATTATTCACAATCCAAAATAAAAGTTTGTGTTTACGTAATGTGTGTCTGGCTACTCTCTGCTGTCTCAGATGACATCACTTCCTATCTGCCACCGTAACTTCTGTTTGGTGCAGTTCACAACCTCACCACTAGATGCGTTAAAACTTACAAACTGCACCTTTAACGAGAACATTTTTAATAGTTGCAGTTTTAGTGAACAATAAGTGATTTTGATGACCTGGTGATTTTTCTCTGTGTGTGTGTGTGGTGTGTCAGCTCGTCGTTCGAGGCGGCGCAGGAGTGGGCTCTTCCGGTTCAGTTCTGCCGGCTCCACGCTCTTCCTCTGAGCTCCGCCTTCCCTCAGGCCTGCGCTCGTGACGCACAGTGGCTCCACTTCCTGCTGTTCGTGCAGGTGCACCATTACCCCCTCCAGCAGGTGTGTCTGTCACACCGGTCTGCCTGCTCATTGTTTTGTTTTGATTTATTTTATTAAAATATGGAAAAAAGAATACAAATTTTAATGGGATTAAAATGTTTTTGTCCTGTTTTTTTATGTATTTATTTATTTTATTTATTTGTTTATTTTATTAAAATATAAAAGGAAAAAATAAGTAGGATTAAAATATTTTTCCCTGTCTTTTTTTAAAAATAAATATGGACAAAATATTAAAAACATTTTAATGGGATTAAAATGTTTTTGTCCTTTTTTTTTTTTTTTTTTAATTCAAATATGGAGAAATTTTGATGGTATAAATTGTTTTTCCTCTATTTTTTTTTCTTTTTACTTAAATTTACGTACATTTCATTCACGACCTGACTGTTGCACTGTAATATTATGTGTGTGTATGTATGTATGTTTGTATATATATATGAAGAGTTCAGATGCAAAAGCCTCTAAATGCCATTTGAAATTTTCTTATTTAATGATGATTTTTATCAAGCTTATATATTCAAGTTCAGCAATTTCACTTAAATAACAATTAATAGGTAATTATCATTGCCATTTAAGTGAAATCACTGAACTTAAATATACAAGCTTGATAAAAATGATCATTCTAGAAAAAAATTTCAAATGGCACTTAGAGGCTTTTGCATCTGAACGCTTCATATATATATATATATATATAACATTTCTGATAACACAAGCTTATACTTTTGTGGGTTTTGTCCAGGTGAAGTCTCTGGCTGCCGGCTTCAGTCCTGCTCTGCAGTCCCACATTTCCCTGGCGTTCCAGGATCTTGATTCGACGAGCTCCCATCAGCCTGTGGACGAGGCCCCGGGCCCCCCGCGAGACGAGCCAGGCCCCCCTCGAGAGCTGTTCCAGGTGCTGCTGCAGAGCCAGGAGAAGCCCCGGCCCTGGAGGACCCTGCTGTGTGAAGCTGTGCATCAGCGCTGTCCTCCTCTGGCAGTGCTCGCCGCCTGCCACCAGGTGTGTGTACCAGAACACACACTCCTGCTGAAGCCTGTGCTAATGTTTTTGTCCTTTTTTTGTTTGTTTGTTTTATTTGATTAAAATAATTTAAAACTATTCAAATCATTTAATGGAATTACATAGTTTCCCCCTATTTGTTTTTTTATTAAACTGAGGAAAAGATTAAAATATTTTAATAGTATTTTTTTTAAATAAAAATAATTTCAAATTTTTAGCTATTTGCTTTTTTTATTTTATTAAAAAATATATTTTAATGGGAAAAAATTTTGTCCTTTTGTTTCGTTAAAATAATTTAATTTTAATTTAATTTTGTTAAATAACAATTAAATGGTATTAGTTTTTCCCCTGTTTTTATTTAATTTTTAAAATTTTTATTAAACAGGGAAAATTACAAAAAAAATTAATGGGAATAAAATGTTTGTCCTTTTTTGTTTGTTTGTTTTATTTTTATTAAAACAATTAGTGTGATTTGATTGACAGGGCGCAGAGCTGCTGCAGTGCCTCTGCGTGTGGATCCTGACGTCTGTCGATGATGATGTCACTCACGAAGCCACCGCCCACATCAACGAGAGCCCCGCCCATCACGTGTGGAACCTGCATGATCTGTCCATCGTGTGGAAGATCCTCCTGTGCCGGAGAAAGATCAGGCCTCTGATTCGTGGCTTCCAGCTGTTTCAGAGGGTAAGAGACACTCTGATTGGACGAGCCACCGTCTTAAACTGAAGTGCTGAACAGATCTCAGATCATGATGAAGGCTTTGCTCAAGTTTTTGCTACTAATCGCAATCAATTGATTTTACAGCACTAATATTATATTTTAGATCACTTTTTTGTTTTCCAGGTGGGACATGTTTTTGCATCAGTATGTTGTTCACTGTTATTTTAGCAATATTTGCATACTATTATAATATTTATTGATATGTTTAATTAGCTTTTATACTATTTATTAATATTTTTAATCGTCTTTACGTTTATATTTAGAGTTTTCTTTTTAATCTCAGTTATTTTGTAACATGTTTTTGTTGTTTTTATCATTTTTTTTTTTTTTTAATATTTCTAATTATTTTTTAATTTTGATTTTTATTTTTCAGGATTCTTTGATTAAAACATTTATTTGAAATAGAATCTTTTTTTAACATTTTAAATTTCTTTACTGTCACTTTCGATTGATTAAATGTTATTTGACATGCATTCTCTCTCTCTGTGTGTGTGTGTGTGTGTGTCCCAGGAGTCGCCGCTCATTTACATGCTGAACATGTACGAGTTCTGCTCCGACTACAAAGACTATCAGCGAGCCAAAGACAAACTGCTGGAGTTTCAGAAGTGTCTGCTCAACGTAAGCTCACTCGGCTCTTGTTCTCCCCCGCTAGTGTTTTCATCAGTACTGACTTCGGCACCATGTCAATACTGAAACTTTAGAAATGTGAGGCTTTGAGTGCTGTTGAGCGGGATCATAAACACCTCTGATTGGCCGGTGTGTTCACGAGCTCATCAGATATGTCTGTGATTGGCTACAATGATCAGCGCTCATGCTGATGAAACTCTGAAAATTTGAATATTTAGTACATATGCACAATTATACTTTTCAGAGGGCCGACATTTCTGTATTTAAAATAGTTTTTTTTATTGATTTCATGTAAAATTCTATTTTAAAATTTTGAAACTTTTGAAGTCTGAATAAGGAAAGCAATGCCTTTATCATAGGATCCTTTCAATGGTTAAAGTTTCCACAGTCATTGCATCTGCTGCACTTTATTCGTACCATTTTGTTTTATTGGTTATTGTGTGTGTAGTTGCGGAGCAGCAGTGTCATGTCGAGCTCAGATGTGCTGCCGGTCCAGTGGGTCGAGTCTCAGGCGTCGGTTCTGTTGCTGACGCTCCTGAAGCAGAGCCGGACTCAGTATGAGCTGCGCCGTCTGCTTCAGCTGCTGGTGGACATGGAGCGTCTGCTCAAATCTAACGGTCAGAGGGTTTACCACTGAAACACAGTTTCAAGCGTTTATATTGACCATTTCACAAGATGTAAACAACACTGGTCCAGAAACACTTCCTGTTTCAGTTTCTTAACTGTTTTCTTTATTTCACATGTAAAGAAAACATCTTAAAGACGTAACTTTAACTTTTTGATTCAGTTTTAAATGTTCTGTTGGTTGTATTTTATCCCAGCTTTTATGTAGTGTTAAAAAACTGAAACAGGAAGTGCTTCTGGACCAGTATTGTTTACATCTTGTGAAATGGTCTATGAGCACATTTAAGTAACCGTTTACACTTTCTACTAAAAACTGAACATTTTTGATGTGTTTTGGTTGTTGGTTTTCACAACAGTGTTTTTTCGGCATGAAAATGTAAGGTTTTGAAAACTGGTTTCAAAGTGCAAGTTTTTGAAAACGCAATTCTGACTTTTACCCGCAATTCTGACTTTTTTTCCTCACAATTCTGACTTTACTCGCAATTCTAACTTTTTTTCTCACAATTCTGACTTTTTTTCTCACAATTCTGACTTTTTTTCTCGCAATTCCAAAAAAATTTTCTCACAATTCTGTCTTTTTTCTCACAGTTCTGACTTTTTTCTCGCAATTCTAACTTTTTTCTCACAATTCTGACTTTTTACTCGCACATCTAACTTTTTTCTCACAATTCTGTCTTTTTTCTCACAGTTCTGACTTTTTTCTCGCAATTCTAACTTTTTTCTCACAATTCTGACTTTTTTCTCGCACATCTAACTTTTTTCTCACAATTCTGCCTTTTTTTCACAATTGACTTTGTGAGAATTTTAATTTTATATCTCACATTTTGGACATTTTTTTTCTCAGAATTGAAAGAGAAACTCAATTGTAAGGGGAAAAGTCCCAATTACCTTTATTTTAATTCCATGGCAGAGACCAGCTTCCATACTTTTCTTTACCAACGCTACGAGTAAAAATACAGTAAAATCAGTAATATTGTGAAAGATTATTTTAAAAAATTCATCATATTAGAGTGATTTCTGAAGGATCATGTGACTCTAAAGACTGGAGTCATGATGCTGAAAATTCAGCTTTGATCACAGGAATAAATTACACTTTACCATATGAAGAGTTCAGATGCAAAAGCCTCTAAATGCCATTTGAAATTTTCTTCTTTAATGATGATTTTTATCAAACTTGTATATTTAAGTTCAGTAATTTCACTTAAATAACAATTAATAGGTGATTATCATTGCCATTTAAGTGAAATTACTGAACTTAAATATACAAGTTTGATAAAAATCATCATTAAAGAAGAAAATTTCAAATGGCATTTAGAGGCTTTTGCATCTGAACTCTTCATATATTCACATAGAAAACAGAAGAGACTCTTTGACACACATGAGATGAGTTCTGATGTCATGTCATTGACAGGTCTGGACTTTAAGAAGCTCAGCCAGTTGAGTCAGGTGTTGTCGGACACTCCCGTGCCGCTGTCTGCGTGTCTCCTGGAGGATTACTCCAGCGCTGGTCTGCAGAGAGAGAGCCGGATGATGATGGACGAGCTCCAGGAGCTCGGGCTCTTCACACAGGCACGCAGGGTTGCACAGTTAGCCGAGCTGCCCATCGACTGCCTGATTATAAACGAGGTGAGGGAATCAGAAATCATCTGTGACCCGTGTTTTTGGAGATTTGAGGAAGTCTGTGAGCAGATTCATCATAATTAAATTCATGTTATATACATTTTTTAACGATAAAGCTGGTAACAAAATCCTTGCTTTTTTAAACTCTTATATGATTGTGCAAATAAACTACATTTCCCATAATTCTCTGCACTAGACCAGAATAATGAAATACATAGATAAAACGTCAATCATCATTTGCTATTCATTTTGCAGCATCAGCACTAAAAATCTCTACTATTAAATAATAAGTTATTATTATAAATATTTCTTAAATGTTGTTTTTTATTTTACAGTTAAATATTACAATGGTAATATTTTGTTTGTTTTTAGTAATAATAATTATTATTATTGTCATTATTATTAAATATTAGACTTTTTATTTCACTGTTAAATATTACAGTTGTGATTATTGTTTTTTTTTCTTTGGGTTTTTTTGTAGTAATAATGAAAATATTTAATATTATGATTGCTGATTGTTATGTTATTATTATTATGTCAAAATGATATGCATTCCAAAACCATTTGGCCAAAAAGCAAGCACTGCAAACCTGGAGATTTTTTTTTTTTATTAAATCACATTTTATTATAAAATTTTTCATCTGAAAAATTGTAGTTAGAAGGATTTGCTAGAGTTCGGTAGAAGTGTAGATGACCTGACTGAAGCATCTCTCCTCTGTAACTCCTGAAGCTGCGGCGAGATCTGAGCGCTCATAAGCTCAAGCGGCAGTGGGAACGTCAGGAGACCCGGATGGGCTTCTGGAGACGATGTCATCAGCAGATCCTGACCGATCGTGTCCAACCAGAGGCGGCCTGTCAGTTCTTCCTGTCTCAGGCTGAGGTGAACCTTTACCTGCATCTCTCCCTCACTCTTTTCCATTTCATATTGACTGTCCACCTTAAGAACATTTCTAAAGTCTTCCTAACGTTATGTTATGTTAGGTTAGGTTATCTTAGGTTAGGTTATGTTAGGTTAGGTTTTTATGTTATGTTAGGTTATGTTATGTCATGTTAGGTTATATAATATTTTTATATTTAAATAAAATAGCTATATTTTGTTGTATTAAATATTTTTGCAGGTCACTTTTTTGTTTTTGCTGGGATACATGTGTTGAGTGATATTGTTTATATACTATTATTTATTAAAATTTGTATAAATTTAAATAATTGCAATACAGATTTCCTTCTGGCGGTTTGAATGCAATAATAATAATAAAAAAAACTTTATTTTATATAGTGCCTTTAAAAGTAGTATCTCAAAGCACTTTACATACAAAAAAAAAAAAAATAATGGAATTGGAAAGATAACACAACAGTCTAGGCAATTAAAACTAAACAAGCAATAAAATAAAAGGCAAATATAATAACAATCAGAGTAATCACACAATCACATAAAAGCCCCCCTAAAAAAGTACGTTTTAAGGGAGGATTTAAAAACTCTAAGGGATTCTGCATTCCTAATCTCAGAGGCCACCAGGTGGCTAGTTCCTATAACCAAGTTCCTATTACTATCTGGTCCGAAAGCCTCTTGTACAGTATTTCCAGTGTCGAATCTTGTAGTTCCTCCCATGAATCTGTGTTTGTCCCGTTCAGGAGCCGATCCGGTGTGATTCTGAGCTGGTCCAGCTCGAGGAGCGCTGTCTCCTGCTGGGTCTGGCAGGTCACTGGTTGTCCCGCTGTGACGTTCCTCCACCAGTCCTGCGTCTCGGCCAGCTCGAGAAGCGTCAGTGGGAGTGTCGGATCCAGCGACTGGTTCTCCTCACGGCTCTGGAGCGCCAGAGTTTGTTCGCTCCCTCGGCTCTCTCCGAAGACTCCTTCGAAAGCCTCCTCAAAGAGTTCTCCTTCTCCAGAATGTGGGCTCTGAGCGACCCGGCGCACCTGAGCCTGGACGGGCTCCCGGCGTCAGGTGACGAGTGCGTGTTGTCGGAGGACGAGCGTAAGGCGCTGGACGCTCTGATCGCGCAGATGCTGAACGAGGGCGCCGTGAACGAGGCTAGTCGCGTGTGCCGCTACTTCGGCTGGTTTCACAGAGACCTGTGGCTCGTTCTGAGGTGTCGGGGTTTAGCGTCCGGCGAGATGATGCCTGACCTTCACAGTCCTGATGGAGAAACTAGACGCAGTTTACCATCATGTGAGTCATTTTCAGCTGTTTTTACATCTACAGTTAGTCATTTAGCAGGCACCTTTGTCTAAAGCGACGTACAAATGAGGACTAAACCGAGCGAGTCGTCATGAAGAGGCAAAAACAACGCAAGAAGTGCTCAAAATACACAGTTCAGGCAAGGGAGTATTAAAGATGAAAGGGATGATGTCACATACACATTCCCAACACAAAAATTAGGGATATAAAAATTTTGGTCGATACCGATAATTCTTTATATTTCAAAACCGATAACCGATATTTTGGCCGATAAATCTAAATTTATATAATTTTCCAGAGTCATCTGAAGTGTCTCAGCTGAAGGAAATAATCTGTCATTTTTCTTATCGGCCCGATAACGATAAATTAACATATCAACCGAGACTGATATGGTGGCCGATATATCGTGGATCCCTAACAAAAAATGCTTTGTTAGCCAAAATAAGAGTCCGTAAAGGTACACTACTTTTAAAATGTTTGGAATTATTATGATTTTTTTATGTTTTTGAAGTTCCTTCTGCTCACCAAGGCTGCATTTATTTGATACAGTTTTGCATTTTATGTATTTTTGTTTACTGTAATGCGTCGTTAGCTTAGCCACATGCTAATGTATAACTGTTATTTTATTCACATTTTATTCAGTCCTAAAATAAATCCAATGCAAAGCATTACAAAGCACACATTTCACTCAGTAATTTATTTTATGCAGTTTTATGCTTATTAGAGTATTGGTTTGTTAGCTTAGCAACATGATAATGGTTAATTATTTTTTTAATCGCATTTTTATTCAATACTGAAAAGAATCTAGAAAACTGTTCCCTAATATTACAAAGCAAACATTTCACCCAGTAATTCTTTGTTTTCATTTACAGTAGTTTTATGCTTATTAGAGTATTTAGTCATTAGCTTAGCAAAATGCTAATGGCTAACTATTATTTTTATCACATTTTTTATTCAATACTGAAAATAATCTATTGAAAATTGTTCTGTAATAGTACAAAGCAAACATTTCACTCAGTAATTCTTTGTTTTCATTTACAGTAGTTTTATGCTTATTAGAGTATTGAGTCATTAGCTTAGCAAAATGCTAATGCTAACTATTATTTTTATCACATTTTTTATTCAATACTGAAAATAATCTATTGAAAATTGTTCTGTAATAGTACAAAGCAAACATTTCACCCAGTATTTCTTTGTTTTCATTTACAGTAGTTTTATGTTTATTAGAGTATTGAGTCATTAGCTTAGCAACATGCTAATGGCTAACTATTATTTTATCACATTTTTTATTCAATACCGAAAATAATCTATTGAAAATTGTTCTGTAATAGTACAAAGCAAACATTTCACTCAGTAATTCTTTGTTTTCATTTACAGTAGTTTTATGCTTATTAGAGTATTGAGTCATTAGCTTAGCAAAATGCTAATGGCTAACTATTATTTTTATCACATTTTTTATTCAATACTGAAAATAATCTATTGAAAATTGTTCTGTAATAGTACAAAGCAAACATTTTACCCAGTAATTCTTTGTTTTGATGTATTCTATGCTTATTAGAGTATCGTCAAACTCTATTGGAGTGAACTGTGAGTGTGTTTAATTTCTCTCTGTGCTTCTGTAATCTACGGTCTCCTCTGTCTGAAGCGCCCAGCATGAACAGTCTGTCATCGTTTGTGGTGGTGCCGTCTCCCGACGATCCGGTTCTGGTTCAGCTCAAACAACTGGTGGATCAGTGCTGCAACGGCAAGAGTTACTGCAAACAAGTGCTGAGCCTCTACGAGCTCTCCAAGGTGAGACCGAAACACACAGGTGTGTGTGTGTGTGCTGTATCATGCTGACGGTGTGTGTGTGCAGGAGCTGCAGTGCTCGTTCGCTGAGATCTCGTCTGAGGAGCCCGAGGCGGTTCTGAAGAAGGTCCTGCTGTCGCATCAGTCGGATCGCTATAAGAGAGCGCAGGCGTTCATCAGCGTCCAGGGCCTGGAGCCCGACGCCGTGGCCCGGCTCGTCTCGTCCGCGGTGCTGGAGGGGTTACTCGCGTCGGCTCAGGACGGAGAACCCGGTGTGTGTGTGTGTCTGAGTGTTCAGGACAGTGTCTGATGTTTGGCCCAATCAGATCCCTCTTCTGAGTGTGTATCGCAGTCATGTGATGCGTGTGTGTGTGTTCAGGACAGCGGCTGATGTTCGGCCCGTCTGACGGGAAAGAGGCGTTCCTGCAACTGGCTAAACTGTGTGGAGATCCAAACCTGGTGGGCATCAAACTCCTGGACAGCATCCCGACGGTCCCGCTGTCCGAGCTCAGCGTCAGTGAGTTACCCACAATGCTCTAGTGCTGACCACTGATACCCACAATAGTGGCTCATCGACAGGGATTATAAAACCCTACTTTGTTCTGGGAGATTACATTTCTTTCTTTTTTTTCACTTAATTTTGTTGTTTTATTTATGTACCGTCATGTCATTTGATTTATTGATTTGTTTGTTTAATAAAAAATGTATATTTTGAGAGAGAGAAAAAACGTAACATAGTATTACAGGTTAAAATATGAAATAAAATAACACTCACTCACTCTCCCACTGTCTCTCTCTCTCACACACACACACTCACTCTAACTCACTCATTCACTCAATCACACACACACACACACACACACACTCACTCTCTCTCTGTCTCTGTGGTGTAGCTGTGGAGATGTTGATCTTGGCTCACGACTGCTTCAGTGTGACCTGTAACATGGAGGGCATCGTGAGGGTCCTTCAGGCGGCGCGTCATCTGAGTCACACACACCTGGCTCACGGCGAAGGCTACGGGCTCCTGGTGAGTCACACACACACACACACACAAACTGACACACCTGAGTTACACACACCTGGCACATGGCGAAGGCTACAAGCTCCTGGTGAGTCACACACTCACTCTCACACTGTGTGTGTGTGTGTGTGTGTGTGTGTGTGTCCACAGGTGCGTCTCCTCACAGGCATCGGCAGGTATAACGACATGACGTACATCTTCGACCTCCTGCACCAGAACCATCGCTTCGAGATGCTCCTGAGGAAGAAGGTCGAGTCGGTGAGCACTCACACATCACACACACTCGTACACTCTCCTGTTTCTGAAAGAGTCTCTTCTGCTTTTATTAGGCATTTATTTGATCAAACAGTAACACTGTTAAATATTATTACAAATTAAAATAATTATTTTCGATGTGTGTGTGTGTGTGTATATATATATATATATATATATGTATATATATATATTATTATTTTTTTTTAATCATAACATTTTTTATTTAATTGTTTATTTTATTGTATTCATTAATTTACTTTCGTTAAATTTACTTGACTATAGTTTAGAATTTTATTTATTTATTTATATACAGTATTTTTTATTTTTTTTTTGTATTTCAGATTTATGTTTCTTTATTGTGTGTTTGGTTGTTTAATATTATTTTCTATTTATTTTTTTTATTTATTATTCTGTAGTGTAGTTGATCCCAATCTTGATTATTTATTTTATTAATTAATTAGTTTTCTATCTATAATTCTTTTTTTTATTATTATTATTCTGTAATGTACTAAATGTAAGGATGTGTGTGTTCCAGAACGTGCGGCTGAAGACGGCTCTGCTGGAATACATCAAGCGCTGTCTGCCGGGCGACAGTGAGAAACACAACATGGTGGCTCTGTGTTTCAGCATGTGTCGAGAGATCGGGGAAAACCACGAGGCGGCCGCGCGAACACAACTCAAGATCATCGAGTCGCAGCCCTGGGGTCAGACACACACACACACATGCAGAGCAAACACACGACAAGCCCATCGCCAACACACTGAGAAGGGTTGTGGGTTACAGTGTATTTATACATTTAAGTACTGAGTAATATTAATTAACAGCATGAACTTACTGTAGGATTAGGGTTTGGTTGAGGGTTAGGTGCATGATTTACTGTTATTACTATGCTAAGTACATGTAACATATGTATTATGTAGAATGTCTTAACTGGTTGTGTTTATGGCTAATTGTCATGTTACAATGATCGTTTGCTTTGTTTGAAGTCGTGTGTGTGTGTGTGTGCAGTGATCACTGTGGATCTGAAGAACGCTCTGCTGAAGGTCCTGACGCTCCTGAAAGACGCCGCTGAGAGTTACTCAAAGGTGAATAAATTCTAAAAAATCGAAATAAATGAATGTACTATATATTTTGATAATACTTTTTAGTCATTTTAAGGGATTTTATGGTACTAAATTATATTTAGGCTGTATTTATAATCAATTTATTCACTTTAAATGGAGCATTACATTTCCAACTTGATCTTGAAATCTTGAAGGTTTTAAAGCACAGACTGAAGTTTGCTCTCTTTTTAAAGACGACACTTGGCAGATTATTGCTGAAGTGAAAAAAGTTTTGAAAAGTGAACAAAAAAATTACTGAATTTTAAATGCAAAAATACTATTTTAAATTTTAAATGAAATATATATTTTCAAAAACATGTTTTACTCTAGAACTGTGAGAAAATCAAAGCCATGAATCTAAACAAGTCGTGCTTCAAATTAAAGGTTGATCTCTCAGGAAATGGTCTTTCAGTGAGAGTGTGTGTGGCTGCAGTACCGAACGCTTCCACTAGAGGAAACTCTTCTCACATTCATTAGTGCAGTTTTCTTTAATGTGTGTGTGTGTGTGGTTCAGGACTCGTGTGTGCGTCAGGCGGTGAAGTGTGTGAAACTGGCCAAACTGGTGACGCTCCAGTTGCACTTTCTGAATCAGGGACAGGACCAGCGCGTCGTGAATCTGCCGCCGGCAGACATCCAGAACACCATCGTGTCTTTACCCCGCTGTTACCAGGTCTCACACACTCCGCAGTTATTCATGACAACATGATCATTCTCCTGTCAAACACTAGCAGATGTTGTGGATAAAATGTTTAGGAGGATTGTTCACGCTCACTAGAGAAATGAATAAACGAAGATAAATAAATGAATAAAAATATGAAGAGAAATTAATAAATACAAATATGAAGAGATGCATATTCTTTTTGTTTTTATTAAATATAAACTTTAAGTGTTTTTTTTATTTGTTGATTATAGTTTCAGAATAACAAATTTTATTTTTATTTGTTTCTCTTCATATTTTATTTGTTTATTTTCAAATTTGATTTATTATTTTCTTTCAATGTTTTATTAATTTCTCTTTGTTTATTTATTTCTCTTCATATTTTATTTATGTCTCTTCATGTTAATTTATTTCTCTTCATAAATTATTTTTTTTTACCCATTTGTTTTATTTTATTTATGTCTCTTAGTGTTTTATTTATGTTTCCTCATATTTATTTATTTCTCTGCATTTTTTGTATTTAATTCTCTTGATAGTTTTATTCATTTATTTATTTCTCCTCATTTATTTATGGATAAATATCTTTTCATGTTTATTTATTTATCTTCATATTTTGCTGCATTTTTCACACCTTGACAGTACATGGTCACTGGAATGACATTTAATTATTAATACACAAGCAAAAAATAAAAACGTATTGGTAAATGTTGAGAATATCATTGATAAATACTATTAAGAAGTATTTGACAATGGTATAAACTATCACTGAAAGTTAATTATTAATAAATGAAACATTATTGTAAAGTGTTACTAGAAAATGTAATTGTGAGTTTTTATAGTGAGAATTTAGATAAAAAGTCAGAATGACCTTATTTCTTGTTTTCTTGTGTGTGTGTGTGTGTGTGTGTGTCTCTCTGTCTGTGTGTCTCTCTCTGTGTGTGTGGCAGGCGTTCGTGTTGGCCGAAGCGTACGACTTCAGTCCGGACTGGGCCGATCTCCTCTATCAGAAGGTCGTCCTCAACGGAGAGTTCCTCTATCTGGAGGAGTTTAAGCGCCACCGGTCGCTGAGCGCCGGCCTCTTCCACGACATCTCCAAAAAGTAGGCAGAACTGTTTCTGTGAGGATATTCTGAACTGTTTATTCGCTTTCTGGAATAATTGGTTGTTATCGGTCGCTGGTGTCATCATGAAATCAAATATTTGTAAATTAAATCAAATAATACACATGATAAAATGATTTAACTTGATTTATGTCATATATTGATTAATAATGGAAAAAAATAACAATAATACACTTTCTACTCAAAAAATATTTTAGATTATTGTAGAATATAAATATATTTTATTATATAGTAATTTGTATTACTACTTGATTGTAATTGGTCAATGGGGTTGATTTGGAATCAAAAAATAAATAAATAATAATAATACATCAAATGATTATTATTTTAGATTATTCTATCATATAAATACTTATCTAAATATATTGTTTTTTAATTAGTTTTATTAACATTTGTAAATTAAATAAAACTAAAAGTAACAAAACTAAAAAAATATATTATTTTGTCTGTAAAATTAAATATAAAGTATTTATAAAATATTGTAAAATATTATATAAAGTATATAAAAATATTTATAAATATAAATATTTGTAAATGAAATAAATAATACGCAAAAAAAATAATAATTAAAGAAACTCAAACTAAAAATATAATATACTTTAATACGATACATTAGATTATAATAGTAAATAATTAATATATATATATATATATATATATATATCAATGCCATTTTGGATGAAATAATCCATGAATGGATTATTAATTATTTTAAGTTGCCAAAGTTGCTTTGTGTTATGTCTGACATTTATTCCTTAGTTGTTCTAATATTCAGTCTAGAAGAGTTATTTCCCCGTGTGCAATCACAGACATGTTTTTCTGTCATGCTTCTATTTCATATGGCCATCTAGAGTTGCTCAGAGTTGATCATTTGTGATATGTTTAATGTGTTGTGCAGAATGTGTCATCAGAAGTGTCCGGCGAGCTCCAGTCAGAATCTGAAGAAGCTTCTGTCTCACTGCGAGGACGTTTACACACATTATAAACTGGCGTACGAGCACCAGTTCCTGGACGTGGCCAACATGCTTCTGCAGGACTCCCGGAGCAACAGCTTCCTCAACGACCGGCTCGGCACCTGACACAACAATAATCAGAATAATAATCATAATAATAATCAACATGCTTCTGCAGGACTCCCGGAGCAACAGCTTCCTCAATGACCGGCTCGGCACCTGACACAACAATAATCAGAATAATAATAATAATCAACATGTGTCTGGAGGGCTCCCGGAGCAACAGTTTCCGACTCGGCTCCTGATCTTTCAATATGACAAAATATGGACACAAATCAAAACAAAATTTCCTTTGATTCATTTCCAGTAAAAATACATTTTTTTAAAAATTGACAATTTTCAGACGTCTATATTCGTGTCGTGAAGTTCTCTCCCCATTAACACTGTAAACACCGTTTCCCTGCTGTCATTGCGGCTGATGAAGTGAGTTCATCCTTAAAACAAGAACACACATTCCCCAGTGAAGACAGAATAATTAACTTCATTCAAAGAGAAAACAAGGTTATTTTTTTACTCAGTTTGCAGATATTTGTTCTTGTTTTTCGCAACAAAAATATTCAATTAATATAATTAAATATTCAATCAAACTAATTAAAAAACAATATATTTAGATAAGTATTTATATGATAGAATAATCTAAAATGATAATAATTTGATGTATTATTATTATTTTTATTTATTTATTTTTTGATTCAAAAAATTGAAAATAAGACTTAATATTCTGTCTTGAATGCTTGATTGTAATTGGTCAGTCGAGTCATTATAATAAAATATGATATGTTAATATAGTATTTTTTATTACTACTTGACTGTAATTGGTCAGTGGTGTCATAATAAAACAATAAAATATATTTTATTAATATAGTGATTTGTATTAATGCTTGACTATAAGTGGTCAGTGGTGTTATTATAATGAAATATAATAATTTTTATTACTACTTGATTATAATCGGTCAGTGGTGTCATTACAATAAAAAAAAAACATAATAAAATATAATTTATTAATATGCCGGTAGTAATTTTTTATTACCACTTGATTGTAATCGGTCACTGGTGTCGTTTTGGAGTAACATTTTTGTAAATGAAATAAATATTACTAGTAATAAAACAATATGCCGTGTAATTTAGCATCTCCAGTAAATGTATTTCGATTGAAGAATGTTTTGAGATTTGTTCTGGAAACTCAGATACAGTAGTTTTTCAGTGTAATGATTCTCGTTAGGAATCTACAGTAATCACAATGACACTGATGAAGATCTGGCGTTTAACTCGTGTGTGTGTGTGTGTGTGTGTGTGTGTGTGTGCTGCTGATCTGCAGTTGAGGAGCGTCAGCACCAGATGTCTCTCCTGACTCTCACTTCAGCACTTTATATGAGTGTGTGTCACAGTCTGAATGAGTTTAATCACAGCTGCTGTGAGGGAAACTGAGACTGATGGGAATACACAGAGACAAATCAATGATTAAACCATTTATGTCCATCACCCTAAAAATAGGCGACCGCTCAAGACCACATTCACAGGTACAGTTCAACATGCATATACAATTTCAAATAATAGTTTATTGCCATGCATTTTAAATGGCATGGATTTATAATGCATACTGTAAATATTGTGCAATTGAAAGTAAATATTTAAAAATATCCATTAATATAATTTGAATCTTTTTTTTATAATTTACATTTTTAAATATAGTTTTAGTATTTTTAAAATATTATTAAAAAAAGTCAAATGTTGAAAAAATAATTTTTTTTGCAAAATAAGAGCATGTTTAATAGTGATCAAAGAACGGAAAAAATAAACAATATATTTCTATGATTTTCAAGCTTCCGAGAGAGCTGAATCATCTCGAAAAGCTTGTGAAAGTAGCTGATGGTGTTTATTAAACCTTTGGGTTTGCCAGTAATATATAAAACTCCTCGAACAACAGCATCTAATGCTCCGTAAGTGTTTATTGATTTTCTTTTATTACTCTTGTAACAATCTTTATATTGTTGTTATACATTAAACTCGGCTAACAAAAATAGGTTCACTTTTTGCTAACATTCCAATGAAGTAATCAGAACGTTATTTCTGAATGTTCTCTGAATGTTTGTTGGTTTAGTGATGCGATCTAGGGAACATGAACATTCCATTTTAGAATTCTGCAAACATTGTGGGATGTTACTTTTAAATGTTCTGCCAGATAACTTTGAACGAACGTTCTATTGCCGTTGACAGAAGTTCTGAGAGCGTTTGGAACCCTTAACGTTAGTTGTTGTAATGCAGTGCCGTTCACTGTAACGTGACTGAAGTTGGTATTTTTGTCTTGTTAATTTCACAGTTAAGTAGTTTTGTTCCAGTTCTCCAGATTGACTGATGCACGCGTGCTGTTTAAGCGTCGCGTCAGAAGCGATCAGAGATCAGTCGCAGTCGGGGACGCGCACATCACACGCTGCTTTTAGTATCATCACGCGCGCACCCGCGGCTTTATCTGTCCGCTTCTCGGTTTTTTAACGCGCGTGTCTCCATGCGGTCCGCGTCACTGAGCGAAAAGCGCGTTGTAGCCTCGCGTCGCGTTGAGTCTCGGTGCTCTCTCGTCAGTCATGAGCTTCTGCGACCGGACACTGACTCTGCTGACCGCTGCCCTCCTCATACACGGTACCGGGACATTTACACTCACACTGTTTATGTTATGTTATGTTATGTTATGTTATGTTGGTGTACAAAGGCAGTACTGATACATTGGTAGTATCATTAATTAAGCCTATAAAGGCTATACTGTAACGTTACATGATACTTCAAAGAATACCATGTCACTGCTATCAAAGTATCATTACTTAGCCTAATCAAAAAAGGTGGAATCTATCCATCCATCCATCTACATTTGTTTATTTATGCATTTATTTAAATCTCCTGTGAGTTTTGTTTCTGTAGAGTTTGAACTAAAGTAAGCAGATGTTTTATCACCCTGCATTTGTTTCTGCGCGCGTGTGTGTGTGTGTGTGTGTGTTTCCTGAAGATCTTGGAACTGAAGCAGGTTTGTTTCCACCCACAGATCCTCTCCAAAATGACTGTGATCATCATGTTTTTAATAACCTGATTCTACTAGATCTCAATTGATTTCCATTGAATGTAAAGCTCTTCAGAAAGACTCAGCAAACAGTGTCACTGTCCTTTGACTTTGTTTTGCTCTCAAACCTTTTTTTTTACAGTCTATGTTTCCAACCGTCTGACTGATTTCAGTCATTGTTCTGTGATTTGTTCTTGTGACCTTAACTTCTCGATTGAATATTCATATTCACCCTGCAGGAAACGATTGATAGATTTTGCAGTTTGACAGCTGATGGTTATGTGTTGTGTGTCGTGTGTTGTGTTGTGTCGTGTTGTGTGTCGTGTCGTGTCCTGTGTGTTTGTGTCGTGTGCGGGTCAGACAGTATCTTGGGGAACACTCAGTGTAATTGAACCTTCTCAGTCAATTAAAGCTTCTTCATTTAAAAGCCGCCCAATCTAGCGAGAGCTTCACCATCAGTCCTGAGAAGACTTAACTAAACAGTCTAAAGCTGAGAATTCTGGGATACATTCAGACAGAATTCGAATTTGATTATTTTAATGTGTTCGTTAAATGGTTCTGACAGTCGAACTCGTCCAGATAAGAACCGGTTTGAGGATCTGGATTTGGTGGTTTAAAACTGAAAAATAGGTCAAGAATTGTGTGTGTGTGTGTGTGTTTGTGGTCAGTATAAAAAACAATATGTCAATGGAAAGTCCCCATAAAACATTTAAACCCAACGTGTGTGTGTGTGTGTGTGTCAGTCTCTCTGCAGGGCGAGCACCAGCGACGGCTTTACAAAGACTTAATGAGAAACTACACCCCTCTGGAACGACCCGTTTATAACGACTCACACTCGCTCACTGTGCACTTCAGCTTCAGTCTGATGCAGATCATGGACGTGGTGAGTAAACACACACACCACACATCACACACTTCAATCAGAACTTTGGACAGGGCTTGATTTTACACATTAGGGTTCGATTGGAAGGTGAAAACTGAGCTATGATGTTACTGTTGATAGGATTTTGCCCCGTCTACTTGGATTTTTTTTAATCCTAATGCATTTCAGACAGAAATTCCTAATTTAATATAAAAACAGAATGTGAATATCATATTAAATTATGTTTTATAAACAAAGTTCGGGCGGAACACGTTCAAATGATCTGCGGAGGCCAATGTACAATGTGCAGCCGACTCGCCTATGAATATAGGAAAATGGTGAAATTTGGCACACTTGTAGTGATAGTCATGAATAGTAATCTGACCAATTTTGGACTCTATAGCGCCACCACCAGTTCAGAAATCCACTTTTCTAACTTTTGAACCCTTTGATCAAGAAAAATCTAAATTAGTACACCTGATTGCTCTCTTCGTGCTGATCACATTCCAGATTGTGTCAGATGATCTTTGGACCAATCTCCACAGACATGATTTTTATTCATATTTGTTCAAAATAGGATGTTTCAAACTTAACTAGGTTGACCCGAAATTTGTTCAGAGGCTGTATCTTGCCAAACTTTGATCAATCGTAACGAAAATTGGTAGGTTTCATCTGAACCGTGATCTGAGGGTTTGTGCCAAATTTGGGAACAGTGCCACCTACAGGTCATGACATCTGAAAAATGTATTTTTTTGCCAATAACTTTTGAACAGTTTGTCAGAAAATCCTAATGCACTCCGTGGGTCCTAACCGAAATATATTATTGAATTGTTTGATGATATTAAGATGAATATTCAGTTCTGTCTGAACATCTTAAACCAGCCTAAGCTGGTTTGCTGGTCTTAGCTAGCCTGGTCTGGCTGGTCTGTTTAATGGTTTCAGAAGGGGTTTGGGCACTTTTTATTCAGAAGGTATCTGTGGTGAGTGAAAATACCTCACAAAAATATCAGATATGAATAGATAATTGGAATGAGCAGTTTGGCATGGGTGTCAGATCGAACAAAATGTTTATATGTATAGATTATTTCAGTTAAGACTTCTGTTATTTACATTCAGTCTTTTTTATCCAAAGCAACCTAAAATTTAGGAATCCAACTAGAAAATCTCTTTTTAATGGTCTTTTGGTTGCAATACAATCTATATTAGGTGGCTGAGGAAAGTGTGTGTGTGAATTTGAATATAATGAGATAAATGAAGTGGATCTGTTGACAGAGCTCATGGAGGAGAAGGTCTCTCTCTCTATTGCTCACTGTTGTCTCACTCCATCGCTCGACTACATAATGAGTGTATGATGAACTCATTAATGCTGGCTGCTAGCCTGTGTTTAAGGAGCTCACGCTAATATGAAAACGATAACTCACATTTGCTTAGGTTTGAATTGCTGGCAAACATTGGGATTCACTCAGTTGAGTCTGGAGGAGTGTGTGTGTATGTGTGCTTTGATGTTTGCAGGCTATAACCGTGACGCGTGTGTGTATTCGGATGAGCGTGCGTGTGTGTGCTGGAGATCTCAGCTGTGTTATGGCTGATGTTTTCAGCTGTTCTGATGCGATTCAACAGCTGTTTAACCACCTCACAAACAGACT